TTTCGAAATCAGGGCGCCCGAGGCGCGCAGCGGCAGGCGCCCCGATTTCGAAGAGGAAGCGGCAGCCCATCCGAAGCGACGGCCCACCTTGCCTGACAATGCTACTGGTTTAATTCATTCATGATAAACCCGTTTTTGGCCATTATTTAATTAAAAAACCACAAAAAGACTCCTTTTACGCGACCGCCGTAAAATGGAATTTTCCCGACATTCCAGTTAAATTGTTTTACTAAATCGCATTTTCGTGGGCTGGGACAGTGTTTTCCGTAATCAGCGCAAAAAAACTGGCCCAGAAAAATGAGGTTTTGGCCATATATAACTGGGGCCAGCAAACTTAAGTAGCGCCCCGGAAACGATCATTGTAGGTAAACTGATAAAATGGTCTTTTAACATTAAAGAGTTATGAAAATCTGCAGCTACAAAAACGATAAAATTCAGTATCGCTTTCTTCATGTGATTTACGGGAAGCATGCTAAAACTCTTACCTTGAACGCCGAGAACTTTCAAGAATTTAATTTTTCACTTGTTTCTTTTTTGTTTGGATAGACTTTGACAATCTGACCTTCATAAGCCATTTTTGGACAGGCAAAAAGTCATTTTCCGATAAAAAGCGATTAGGAAACCGACTTCAACGTTCCTAAAATCGGCAATTTTGAGGCTTTTGAAAATTACTCTTAACTTTTTATATGCGTCTCTAACTTCAATATTTCGGCTGTTTGAGCTTACAGTTGTCACTAAAATACGTGACGTATTCGGCTAATTTTTTCCGGCGACGCTTGCATGATATCCAGGTGTGCGTTTTGTGTCATGGTGGTCGGTCCCCCCGGTAGTGGATGACAATTCCAGCGTGGTCTGCACGACTTTGTACTTGACGTTCGGCTATCATCACATCTGGATGGAAACTATCATCATGCATCAATCACCGACTACATCGATTCATCGCCCGGGCACACCGTAGTAGCCCCCGGGGAGACGGTATCTTGAATCTTTTCTGTTTACCAAACTAAGCGAAAGATCTGTGCCATCGTTATATCAGAAATTTTTCAAAAACAGCTCTCTTTCTAGATTTTGTAAAAAAAAACCTAGAAATCATTGGAAAATAGGGGTTCAAAAAAAAACTAGCCACGCAAACGAAGCTCCTCTTTACACCCCGATTTTCTGACCCAAATCTTATGGCTTGGTTTCATTTTGTTGATATACTATCTTTTTTTTCTCTTTGTACTGTCAATGTGAGGCGACCAATCAGCTTGCTCAAATATTTATTCAAAGTTTGAAACTCTACAAAAAAAAATCCCGTCAAATTTAAGATACCCCTGCAATCGTGTCAATAAAAGACGGCGCTCTAAAAAAAAAGTTTAAAAATCCCAAGTAGTGGTTTTTCAGGTGTTTTTGAAAACTGAAGTGACACAGCTCATTCGATAGAGATAGTAATGTCGAAGAAATCTTCTAAACGACTACCGTATTGAAGATTCACAGACCACTTACTCTGAAGCTCATTTTTTGTGAAAACAATCGCAACTTTGACTTTTCCCAGACTGTTGTCATTCAACGCTTTTTTTTGGAAAATGGGTTTATTTGGAAAATTCAATTTCAGGCTCTTTCTATTGAGCTATTTTAGGTCGAAAAATTCCACAAGCACCTAGAACTACTTGTCTGACTTGTAAGGCAAAGCCTACGCCTAAGCCAAGCCCTATCCTAAGTTTAGCGTGAGCCGAAGCCTAAGCAAAAGCCCAAGCCTGGACGTAAGCTTCCGCATTCACCAAAATGGTGCCAAGCATCACGCATGGCATCAAACATAGCATAACATGATAGGAACTTCACACCTATTCAAGCTCGTCGAATCTTTTTATGATACTTGCCTAGCGACGATTAGATAGCCACGGTAGAAATTGGCGATCTCGATAAAAGGGTGTGGGCACCGTTCTTGCCGGACAGGAAATGAATGCGCATGTCCGTTATCGCTATCATCCCGGATGAGCCCGATAGTGGTTCTTGCTCTTGCGTATTATTACTTATCACTAAAACAATTTGAATTTGTAGCGACAGATTTAAGGATTTAAGAAGGATTTAAGGACAGATTTAAGGAAGGAATGTGTGACTTGACTAGACCCTTTTTAGAAACATGCAGATTTCCTAAAAAACGCCAAAAAAGAAAGCATTGTTTTTGGGTATGACCTCCTTCTCTTATTCATCTTTCGGCTGGCTTACTTCGGAAAAAGGGTAGCACGCTTCAGAAAACTTGAAGCATCTCGAGCTTGAGCCAGCTTGACAAAATTGCGGCCAGCAGGCGGAGCATTTTTTAACCCGAACTCAAAAATACGATGAAAGTCGCTTCGTTTTAATATAGTAAAATAAATAGAACTACCAAAACTACTTACCTATTCACATACCAAATTTTAGTAAGTAGGCCGTAATAGAAGGAATATCTGCACTGTGGCGATAGCTACCGTAACTCGGAGACTCAACAAGCCCAGCCAGCAGCACGGTCTGCCCCGACACCATGCGCACATTTGGCATCCGGAGAAGCGATTTTTCGATCCGCGTCTGAACAAACGAGCCACGGCCGGCTTTGATCCGCTCCGTCAACTTTGGCACCTCAAAGCGATTCCTCTTCTGATTCGCATCATATTTCGCCCTCCATGATTTATCATTTCGATTCTGCCACCCGCCAACTGACTTGTATATATAGGCATGATGGTCGGGGGTACGGTACCAGCTGACGGATGGCATTTCTACGATACTTTACTGCGCTCAGCATTCTGGCGATCGGGGTGCAATGTTGTAAGTTGGTTTTAATAGATCGTATTAAACTTATTAATTTTAGTGAAAACGCTGCGGATGAATAAGGATTTTGGGCAGCCGGTAAGTAAACCTTTTATTCTTAATTGGACATAATTCTATGTAAAACAATTAGTAAAAGTCCTAATAAATGAAAAAAGATAGGTCGTCAAAAATCACTCGATTTTGTTACATTGACAAGTATCAAAAATTACGGAAAAATTACTAATGGATTGGGTAGCCGGAGAGGAAATAAGTTTATTTTTAATCGAAAAGATTTATACATTGCAATAAAACACAGAGAACGTGATAAAGTCAAATGGCGTGTCAAAATAGGTCGATTCCAAAAATTTTGGAAATGGTTAATACGGTAAAACTCAAAAAGATTGGATTGCTTAACGTATATTGTTGCTGTGTTTGGCCTTCTAAACTTTTTTGATAATCTAGTAACGAATTAACGCAGAAGTCGTGTTGGTACTGGCTCGTTAGCGGTGGGAGGGGGAGTAGACCTAAGCCTAATAGAAATAGTTTTTTGTTACTAATCCTAATGTTACGAACAAGCTCACGTTGGCCAATAAACTTATTTTGTTCCAGTAAAAATTCTAAGGATGAATAAGGATTTTGGGCAGCCGGTGGGTAAATATGTCTATTTTGAATTAGGTGTAATTTTACTGGGTAGAACAATAGTAAAAACCCTGATGATAAGGCCAATAAATGAAGGACAAGGTTCGTGCCAAATTCTCCTTTTTCGCGCGCTACCGTACTGCCAAGCTCGGCGCCTGTACAGCAGGAACAGCTAGCCCCCGGCTCGCCGAACGATCCGATTTCTGGCGCTCCTCCCGAGCCGGTCATCAGATCACCACCTCGGCCAATCGCTGCTGGATGGGGGGACAGATCAGGCGCCGCATTTTTCGGATCATAAGATTAATCGGTGGGGGTTGAGGGAAAGTTGGCGGGATTGTGTAGGGAGCCGTGATTGCTTTCCAAAATATCATAAAATGGGACATACAGGGTGTCCCAACAAAAAAAAAACATACCCCCTCTGACTCAAAGCAGTAGTATCGGATCGGAATGGTAGTTACAGCATTCGAAAGCCCTCAAAACGGCGAGCTTGCAACAATTTTCAAAACCATGTTTTTATTTCAATACGGTAGTTTACAAGCCATTTAGCAAAATTTAGCGGTTTTCCAAGATTGAATACGAGAAAATTTGCCTAATTTCTACAAGCAAAATGACCGGAGGTGGCCTTTAAATAGGTGCAGACGCCTTCCTTAATGTTTTTAAATGAGATGTAAACTGGCGCGTTGCGATGAAAAACGTTTTTAAAATTGTGGCAAATTCGCAGTTTCAAGGGCCTTCGAATGGTGTAACTATCATTCCGATCCGATATCTCTGCATCGAGTTAAACCTAAGCCTAAGCCTAAGCCTAAGCCTAAGCCTAAGCCTAAGCGTATTTCTTGGCCTTGAGGCATTCTGTATTACTTAATGAAATGAACGGTTTCTAGCGATGTTATCCACAACTTTTGACAGCTTGGAAAGCATCCAAATAAAATTTATTGATCATTTACAGATCGATCTTGGCATCGGCCTGCACTACTGCAGACTACCCAAGACTGGCTCAACTATCACTTTGGAGCTACTTTGCGATATTCAGCACGAATTCCATGGATTACCGTATAATTCGTCCATTAACAGCACACTTCATGAGGCGCATAAGTAAGTTGATTCAAGATTTCTGGATGGTATCGATACTTTGCAAATGCGCTGAATTGATGGATTGATCAAATTAGGATTGCGCTTTCTAAGTACCACCGGCAAAACGGTTAATATCCTTCCGAATATGGCTTATTTTAGCGACTGCTGGGAAAATCAGGAATTCTTCGCCAAGCACCCTGTGCAAAGTGGAAAATCCCGGAGAAGCCGATCAAATTCACGATCGTGCGGGACCCTATCGATCGTTTCGTCTCGTTATATGGCCACTTTTGCCAGTACGTCTCAGCTTTCTTTCGAACTCCTTCGAGAATTTTACAATTTTTAACCTTGTGATTTAGGCACGATAAGCTTTGCGAGGACATCGGGATCAAGAAATTTGCGCAGGACGTTTATAACGCACTGGTCCATGGTCAGCAAAATTACGTGAACACGAAGCGCCCGATTCGAGGTCATGCAGTACCGCAAGCGCAGTAAGCTGTAGCATTTTATATTTGGAAGCGTGCGGCTGCGTTGCGTATCACGAAGGTGACCAGATTATCCGATAAAGTCCAAGAGCAGCGAGTAACGCGCCGCACGCGCTCGGATCAAAATTCGATCTGGAGCACAAACATTTTCAATGTTTTGTTTTAGATTTTGTGGTCTGCGAAAGGGAACTGATGACTATGAGGTCATCTACTACACCAACGACAAGAACGAGTTTATCGGGCAGCTGAAACTACTCTTCGAGAAGGCCCAAATTCCAAAGGACGTTATGGAACGGGTAGGTGGCAATGTATCAGAAGAAAAACATTGGTTTGCTGGTGTTATCATCTTAAGAAAAACGTCTGTAACGAATCACTTTTAGGGTCTTGCCCACATCACCGAGTCGACGACCTGGCATGCTGCTGACTCGTCAAAACGTGACCAGCTTAAACAAATTGTTTTGGATTCGGCACCAACTAGGAGGCTACTGAGGGCCATTTATGAAATTGACTTTGATTTGTTTGGGTATTAAGATAGTTTTTATTTATTATTGCTGTTGGTTTTTTATAAATTATTCGGGTAACTGTCAATTTTACATTTGCACCCTGGCCGAGACATTACTATAGCACAGAAACGCGACAAGAAGTAATAACTCAACGCTATCATTGGCAACCACAAGGTAAGGAGAGAGAGAGAGAGAATGAGAAAGAGAGACAGAGAGTGGGCAAGAGTGAGATAGAGGGAGACAGAGAAATCCAAAATGCGCAGCGTTTTTACAGGCGCGACACCCCCCTACTCCCCAGACCCAATCGCCGACAAGGCAGGGTGGCTGTTCCAAGCGAAAGTGAAAGTTGGACGGTAGCCGTCCCCTAGCATGTTCCCCCAAAAGAGCCCGGGGCTGGGGAGCCTGTAGTCTTCCGGGTAGGTACCGTGCTTTAGCGTCCGAAATGCGGTATCCATGCAAAATCATTTCTTTAAAAAAATTCATCGGGTTATAGAAATTTATACTACAAAAGTTTGCGGTATTGCCTTTGGTAGAGGGGGGAAGGGGCAGAGTAAACCCTTTTCCCTACGCCCCGCAAATCGCGGTGAATAAAAATATAAATAATTATGTCGAGCTCAACTACCGTAATTTTAATGCAGGTATAGCAAAGCCAACATGCGAACCGTCCGCACCAGGAGCGTAGTTGACCCCAGGTTTCGGGGAGGCGGGGGGAGGCAGCGACATTTCGGAGGGGGCCGCAAAATTTTTTTTCGATTTGAAATCTTAGGTATTGATCTTCCAGCCTGTGGCATAAAGATCAGCGCTAGACTCTAAGCACTCCAATAACCAATTATCAATCATATCACGCCCGGTTCTCTTCTTCCCCTCGTTTTCCACCCCCGCGACTGCGCGTTTGTCGACAAATATCCACAAGATGGGTGCAAATCTCGTGCTCCTGCTTCCTGCTGGTTCTCGAGCCAACACTCGGAAGGCTCGTTTCAGATTGGTGGATTTGATTGGGGGGCATTGTTAGCGTTGGGTAGCCAGCACTTCATTGGCCAGCACATATATGTTATAGAAAATTACATATTATTTGCATGAATAACAACTATGCTCTGGAGATGCCAAAACGTGTCCCTTGACGTGTTTGTCAGAATATTCCAAACGCAATCGGGACGTATTGAAGAAGTATTGGCACGTGGTGATGTAAGTGTTCAATCTGCACACGGGCTATAAAATTGGAGCAGGTTTTGGATACGAAAACAGAAAGAATGGCATTATGTGCGGGCCGTCGATTTTGGGTCGTTGGCATCAAAAATTTGCAGCTCGGAAAAAGGCGATAATGGTCTGAGCAGGTCCACTTGAATAGCACGTGGCATTGATCCTCCCTAGGCACAGACCATTTAATTCGTAAACCATGACTTACGTAACTTTACTCGGATGGCTGCGGGCAGGATCTGTTTTTGCAGTAGGTATACAATTTTTACGAAATTCACTTTGCGGATACTCACTTGGGGGGACCTATGAGCTGCCGGCTTCGGTAAGCTTTATGCGCGGTTTAATTACTTTTTTCAATGTATTCTATATTTTTATTGTTGATCCAGTTAATAAATAATTTTGCATGATACGGGGCTGAAAAGCCCCGAGCATGTCAAACACGCTGTCTAAAGTACAAACAACCAGGGCTTTTTCGTCTCGAAGCATCGCTTATCTTCTGGATTAACAGAGACCTTTCACCGGCGTTTCATTTCATCTTTCATTTTGGACTTCTGCTCTAGCGCGATTTCCATAGTTTCAAACGTTTCTTGCCACGCGGGCCGGAAGAGAAAATGGCACTTTGGGAAATTTTGCTTAGGATTTGCCTATTCTTTCCGGTCTGCCGTTTGGCAGAAAGTGTACAGGTATCGTTACGGATTATGAAAATGGAGTTAGGCTTCGCTTAGACGGGATCTCGAACCATCATGACTTCAAATCAGAGTTGTCCTGAAGCTCCACTCACCATGAGCCCTGGAGGGACATGGACCCTGGAAATCGGCTATGGCAGCGTATTCCAAATGTTCCCCGGGATGGACTGTACATGGGAGATGTAAGAGGGGTGGCAACGTTCTTAGGCTTCTTCACCTTCCGTATCACTTCTTGTGATTTTAGTAACACCGATGGGTATACGATTCTCCGCATCAAGCCCCAAGTAAATGTCTCGACCAGCGATTCGCTATATGCCACAAACGGGTAGAGGATCAGGAAATGTTATGATTTGTTCAGGCATGTGACTTTCAACATTACAAGCGATCGAAACGAATATGTTGGAATCGCGCATGGTGTTGCATGGGTTGTTCGATATTACGGAAGCGATTCTTCGAAATATGATCAAAGCAATGGCGTGAAAATAGACTTTTTCCTGTTCGAAGGTTTTCTTTATCACGTGATGCTGAAAGGCTTAATTAAGATCGAGCACCTAACGTCGTCGTCGATCCGTGCCTCCAACGTTTCATAAGAATCGGATCTGAAGGTTTATCAACGCTGGAGGACGAGATAACCTATGTTCTAACCTCAAACGGCGCTGGAAATTGCCCGTGGAACCAATGGGTTTACCACCTCTACATAATGTCTCCACCGGAAGGGTATTTGATCACCGGTGGTGAAACTGACCTTTATAACCCAGTGCAATTAGCTCGGCAGTGAGTGCTCGGCGCTAGCGGAAAACTAGCAAAGTTTAGGACTAACGATACCTATCCCTTGGCGATATCCAGTCAGCACACACGTACTCTTGAAATACGCATTATGCGCAGCGGCCCGGATGCACGGCCGTTCTCTATTATCGCAACGTTGGGTAAAGCTTCAACTACGCCAAGAAGCTTTCAGCGGTTTCAGCGCCGCCAAGCAAGCTGATCACCAACAACTGCGATTCGGAGAGTGAAGAAGACCAAAAAACAACATTGGTTTGGGAGGCGGATGAGGATACAGCCACAATAATTTTCAATCGCTACCTGGACCAGAGCGGAGTCCTAGGATTTGCCATAGCGTACGCCGGTGAACTGCAGCTAGAAATGTATCGCGGTTTGGCGATGACGACGCCGACCGAATTTTTTGGGTAAGCTAGGTTTTTCACGTTCCCGGCATTACCATTACCATTTTCAGAAAGAATCAGATCTGTCTCTCTCAAACGCTCCAAAGAACGCTGCCAACCTTTGTGCCCGGGGTTTTTATCACCGTCACGTCAAGCGGTGTTCAGAATGGCTCCGTGGAACTGCGATGCTCACGCAAACGTATAGATTGTTAGCTAGATTGTCATCGCTTAAAAATCTCAGCATCATCAGTATGGCAGGTCGAGGTCGGTGACGATCCGGGAATCTTGATGTCGCCCTGGGTTTTTAATGGCGGCTCGGGCCGTAATCGCTACACATGGAAGCTTGAAAACGTATGTTTATGCTTTTCAAGTTTACAGTTGACAACAAAGCCCAATTAGATCCAATGTAGCTTTAGTTTTAGAAGGGGGAATCACTTCGTGCTATTAATATTGAGTTCCTAGCGAGGTTACCTGCTGGCTCAAAGCTAGAAATTAGTGACCTTAACAATGCTAACGGGAAACCCCAAACGTGGGTTTGACAAGACTTGGTTGTCCGTATCGTGCCTTTCAGATTCAGCACTTATAGCACATCATGCCAATACTCCTTCAAAACTTCTCGAATACGCCTAAATTATACGTGGCATTGTGGCTCGTTAAATGGCTGCGGCACGGAGTTGCTGATACAGTAGGCCCTAAGAGGTGAGGAAGTGTCAACATTTTTCAGGTATTCGCTCGGCGCCACTTATGAGTTGACGAGCCATAGCCGGGGCCCATTTCTGCACCCTGTGATGCATTTATTTTACATAATTAGTGCCGTCATCACTGCCAATAAATCGGCTTAGGAAAAAGCAAAGGAAAATTAAGCAATAATGATCATGATTTTTGCCGGTCCCGGAGGTCGTCGTGGCTTTCACATCCTCGGTCGTGGCCTCCACATCCCGCTGTGTAAAATGAATTTTTGCGAAGAACCCGGAATCTTCCCAGTCGTCATCGCTGTAGCCAAGCTAAAAAATAAATTACCGAAGTCTGGACCAAGCCACTCACCGTGATTCGCGTAACGTTCTTGACCACCCGAGAATCCCCACTTTCCGATCCGTCTTTGCTGTAGGAATCTCTAAAGATTTATAACGATTAGAATGACTGGGATTTGATTCATACTTCTCCAACACCTTTCCGTTTTCGTCGAGAAACTCGGCAGTCAATTTTCCGTTCTTGATGTCGACAAATTCGAAGAGAACGTCGACAGTGGGAGCTGCATGTATGGTTTAGAAAACGGCCGAAATCTACCACAATTCCAGACGTAGGAGCTAGTATGCGCTTTCGAGGCTGTTACGACTTGACCCTGATATCCAGGACCAATCGCCAGTACCATTCCGATACATTCTGAACTCTCGATCAAATATTTTGGGCCGGCAGTGGCTAAAAAAGTTTGTTGATTGAACGTGACAACGCACGTTTCCCGCTCAAACTAATTGTGGGTGTACAACCGGGTGGAACCCCAATCGTATAGGTTCCAGCCAGCAGAAGCTGAGGGGTAAAATCATTTACGCCACTGAAATGTTTTCAAACATGTATGTTGTGTCTACCTGAAAGTGACCAAGGGATTTGTTTGGTGACGAGAATCCCCGAGCTCCATCCCAGCGTAAAAGCTGTAGATGCAGTTGGCGGAAGCGGGCGGCTGAAAAGGCGTCTGACATGGAGCACTAGCTTACCGAAACGATTGAATCAAGATATCCAACGTAAAGTTGGTCCGACACCGTACTCAAGACAGAGCTTGGGACTTTCTGACCAGCTTCTCTCGGCCCAGGTAATGATAGCAGGACCTGTGTCGTTCGATCACTGACTGGTACTTTAAACATGAGATGTTCTTCCCGGTAAAAATCGTATGGGACCGGGAGCAAGAAATGTTCTAAACTATTAGGGAATTTTATCCACATTAGTAAGTTTCCATACTGCTATCCAGCGCTTTTACCATTGGGGATACCCTCAAGAACATAGCCGGCAACATCGAGGTCCACGTGGTCAGATTGTACAAATTAAAATTGATGGGTTCGCCGCGGACGATCTGCTGGGCTTTCTCGCTGTAGAGCAAAGTGTAGTTGCCCAAGTCGGCCCTGAGGAGAGCGAGAGATATGTAATTAGTATGAGGAGTGGGCGTACAGTTTGTGAGGACCGTCAAGCCAGTCGATGTTCACCACTTCCTTCGTTTCCGGCGTGAAGAGACTGCATAATTCAACCAGCAGCGTAGATGGTTTTTCGATATCGACGACCACACTGAGGGTACCGAATCCTTCGCTGAAATCGGCCGGTAGAGGAAACTTCTGAGGTTCAAAATTCTCAGTGCATTGCGCTAGCGGTTACTTCGTGACGAGCGATACTTACACTGGATCGTAAAGGTCCGCAACGTTGAGCAGATAGTTTGGTACATCTGCGCTCAGCTTAACCGCTCCAAACGCTTTTTGGTCGATGTCCTTCGTGGCTAGCGCATTCAGAATAAAACCAGCATTTTCAGGGGTTGCCGCATCAGCAACGAAATTGATCTAGGCGTACATAGCTATTTCCGCTTCAATTCAAACTTACCCTTTCGAGTCCATAAGGAAAGACAAAGTCCTTGCCGGCGTCGTTGCTTGTGATACTAGAAAGGTGTTGCAGCACCCGAAACTCCCGGAATTTTACTTTTCCATTTGATCGGCCATCGTTCGACCGTCTGGAACTTTGCTGCTAAATTGAAGGACACCACCATGAAGTTGAATTAAGGACACCACCGTTATCAAGCCTTCATTTCCTGGAAACGGAATTTCGCATGGGGCACAAACGTCAAAAAGCCAAATTTACGCGATTAACATACCAGCTTGACCAAAGTGGATTGTTGAAACGCTTGGAACGTCTTCCTCAAAAAGCCATGGAAATTTCTGACTTGTCCATGTGGTATTGGTATTTACAACAATCTTCGGTTGGGCGGCTGAATAGAAAAAAGCTCTTTTAATTTAATGGTCCAGAATAGAAGACGCCATAAGGTAAGGTACCTCCTTGCACTCGTTTCGATGCATAGTTGGTAATATAATAGACGAATGGAGATTTGTTAATGAGCGTCGTAGCGCTCGCGTAGCTCGTGAAGTCATCGTTACCAAGTGTACTGGGGCTATAGGAAAATTGAAATTCAGTAGATGTTCGTTTGAGGTAAAGCAAGGGCACTGTGGGTCGTTGCTACCTCATAACTCCCAAAAAGTCCACTATGCTCTTTCCGGGATCAGATCCAGCATGAATTTCCAAGCTCATCGATACCCCTTTGTCCGTCGAGAATGTAAAAAGAGTCTCCTGGTGTGTCGTGTCATAAACTTTTCTGAAGGCGAGATGAAGGTATATAGAAGTAAAAAAACTAGAATACTTGTCAACAATCGGCAGGAAAGTCATCGTTTGGTTCGGTCGGCCTTTGAATATGACACCAGGGTCGCAATCGGGTCCTGGGCCTTCAGCCCAGAGCAGGTATTGGTGAGAAGCTGTAAAATGTATCTTACCTCTTTAATTAATGAGGAACAAAAATTCAAGGAAACGGTGCGCCCTTCCCAAAACCTACTATCAACCCAATCCGCCACCCGCACAGCTATCCCAAAATTCGTTCCGGCTTTGTTTTTTGTCCCCATATATCCGATGGAAATTTCAGTTAGATTCTTCCTCCATCGACATTGGTATTGAACTTGGGAATTGTCGCTGCAGAATGCCCTAAAAATTTTGAATTTTATTGCTTTTAAGCTTCAGAAAAACCATAGCATTGTACAGCCTTTGATGTCCAGCTCCTCACCATCCACCAGAAACGGCAGCTGATCACGACAAGTCGGATCGCCGGCCTAGAATTTTGATGACAAAATTTTTCAAACCGGGAGAAATAGATTGTCATTGCTATTTTTAATTCTCCAATAATCTACCTTTTTCGGTAATGCTTGACACTCATGAACCGAGTAGTCGATGATTAGTTCGCAATTTTTGCAACCAGAGATTGTAAAATTCTAACAAAAAAATTAAATACATTTTTTAGTTATTTGCCTTTTTAATTTCGAGCGCTGTTCCATGCAGTGCATAGGATGGATTATCCTGGGTCAGCTGGAAGTGTGTTTTGTCCAGAATTGCCAGAATAGCAGGGCAAAAGAGCAGAAGCCGATATTTCAACATCCTAAAATTGATTTGTGGCTCTCGAAATCTTTATAGGTACAAAGTACGAACCAAAAACCATATTATCGCACGGAAAAAAACCATGTAAAATCGGTCGATTACGACATCCGTAGAACAATATATAGCCTGTAACTGTGAGGTCAAAATCCAAAAGTTCTGATATCATGCGCAAGGTCCGGGGCCAGGTACGGTGCAGATTCTTTGCAAAAGTCGCTGCTTACACTAATACCCTGGTGTACGCCCTTAATCAGCGTGGTCATCCTTGCTTAGCAGCGCGGATTAACACCGAGTTTTTTTTGGCGTGTCTGTCTGTTGATACGGCGATCTGATGACTCGGCAGTGTACGCCTGAATTTCTACAGCAAAAAGGGGTTTCGAAAAATTCGTCACGCGTAAGTCAATGGAACACTTCTGCGAGGGAGCGATCAAATGGTCAAATAACGCTGGTTTCAAGCGAGTGCATGTGGTGAAATTCGGAAATTCTTATAACAAATTCCTGCAAATTTTCTCGAAAGAACATCTGTACGAAAAATTTGTATGTGGACAGGCCCGTAGGAGGGGGGGGGCCCAGGGGTCCTTGCCCCCCCGAAATCGGTCGAGGTCCGAAAAATTCATAAGGGGGGGACCCATATGATTTTTAGTTACAAAAATTTTTCTGCCTGCGGCGCTGTTTATTCCTGTTTTTCAAACAGTTTTTACTTATATGAAGCCTATTTTTTCAACATTTTTTGCCTGCGGCGCTGGTTTTTCATTGCTGAATCAATTGTTCATAAAAAATTTTTGCCTGCGGCGCGTTTTCTGCGGTGTTTTCACACGAATTTGAGTGTAGCGAACGCTTTTTTGTTATTTTTTTTGCCTGCGGCGCTATTATTGACGCGATTTTCGGATGTTTTAAAAGTAGCGACGGGGGAGGTCGCCAAAATTTTTGCCCCCGAAATTTCGGTTCCGCTACGGGCCTGCATGTGGAATTGCCTAGAAATGGTATCAAAAATGACCATTTTCGAACAGGTGATAGGGAATCGATTCTAATTTTAGCAATCATTCTCATACCAGGGAACTCTTTATCGACTCGAAATTGCGCGCGCCGTTACCATTAATGTATATACGCGAGCAGATGTTGATGAAGGCTTGATATCGGTCAGTTTTTACCACTCGGATACCTCATTACAATTTGTGCAATTTTTCGAAACCCATCGTTTTCTATTCACAACGATGTGTCTTCCCGCTCAGGTTCCTCAACTTGCCACTGCTCAGGTTTGGCGTTTCGCTTTCACTTATCAGGCTTAAAAGCGCCCCGATGGTCTAATTTTCTTTAAGTACGATCAGATAACATTGGCTTGTAGCATGCTGATTTTCGAATAGAATTATGACTATATTTCAGCGCATTGACTTTAATCAAGAGGTGGAGGATCTGCATCAGTGGATGGAGCGAATGGAGGCGATGAAAGGTAACAACAGCTTGCGGTACTGTTCTATTTGGCCGGGGGCAAAACAACAGCAGGGGTTTTCGATATTTTCGCTACTTTGTCGGGTTTCTATTTGCGTTTTTATAAAACATCGAAAAATATACTAAAAGTTTTGACTATAACTCAAAAACAATATTATACATAATAGTTATAGCAACTACAAAAAAATCTTCGAAAACGGGGCTGAGACGCTACCATTTTTCGACGTTGTTATCATTTTTACAGGATTCCTTAAAAGCCAATCGATAGAGCACCCAAAAATATACTAAGGGTACGATTTCAGCCCGGAATAACGAGAAATAAAAAAAGTTATAGTTAAAAACTTTTCCTTTTTTTTTGCTGGCGGCGTGGGTTTTTGCCCCCGGTCCAATAGGCGATACCTTTGATATTTGAGATACCTTAATACAGCTTTAAGTTTAGCATAACGTCGTTCGAAATTTTAGCCGCCCACGATAAACTGCGGGACATGTTGCGCGAAACTGTCATGGATTCCCCAGATCCGGAGGCGGAATTGGCGGAAGTGGATGAAGTGGTAGGTTAAGTTGTTTTTGTTTTTTCCAAATTTTGTCCTCGAACTCGTGTCAGAGTTGATTAATCGATACCAAATTTCGATAATCGATGATAATAATATTGATTCAGCTGGGAGAGTGCCGAACTGCTATGGCGAGGATGCTGCGGGAAATTCAACGACGCGCCCGCTTGCTGCGCGCCTACCAAGAAGCCGTTTTTACACAATGAAACACAAATAAATTATTTTGAAAGTATACTACAATTCACAGAAAGCGCCGACAAGACGATTTTTGACTGTTTAATGCGACTGTGTTTCTGACGGAGCGAAATTTTTGGTTTTCCACCTTCTGCATCAGATCCCTCTAGAGTTAGGGTTCACAATATTAAAAAACTGCAAAATTGATAGCGAAGCACATTTTAAATAGAATTTATTTGATCTGCAGAACAATCAACGCCCCTAGTTCCCAGCTAGCTCGCGAACACATTTAGCCACCCGATAAACCTCGCAGAACTTAGTTCATTCCCCAAGCCCGCAGGCTCTAATTAATGCCTCGGAAATCATCGGAACGCAGGGGCGAACAAGCGTCCCCCGGTCCGTACGGACGCGCTGGCAAGAGCCACCGGGCAGCCGCCGAGAAATCTAGTCCGAACCCACTCCGAAAAAAAAACTGACGTCGACCCGCAGGGCGGGGATCTCCTGATACGGCGTGCCAACCACGTTTTCATTAGTTCCAGCTTTTTTTGACGGCAGAATGATTGCGGATTTTAAGATATTTATTATAATGTTTTGCTGGCTATCAATTGACATTTATGGTGAGTAAATATAATTTTTTAAGCCCCATTTTCTGTCCAAAAATTTGGCCGTAAAGTTCTGGAAGCCATAACGTACGTATATTTATGTTTTTAGGCAAGCGGCTTCCAAGATATTCCTCGACATGGAATGCCAATAGTTTGGTAGCGTAACATCATAAATCTTGCTAGAAGTTTTGATTTAGCGTGATACTGGCATTGGCTTATCGTATTGCCAAGTGCCGAAAACCGGCTCAACAATCGCTGATCAAATAATGTGCGATATTCGGAAAGATTTACATGGGATTCCTTACAAACAGCATTTCGGCGAGAAACTTGGCAGGAGGTAAAATCTTTAATATTGCTTAATCCATTTAATAATATTTAATATTTGTCAAAAAACATGAAATTTTTAACGTTTACCAAAATTTATGTATCTAAATAACCTTCGACATTGTTAAAGTTTATATAAGCTTGTGTTATAATTTCATGGCGTATAAACTTATCCAAATTTTCTATTTTTGACGTAGTAAATAGATATTGGTCAAAACTGTAAGGAAAGTGCTTGTTACATTGCTCGTTGAGCTTGTACGAACTAAAAACATTAAGTACAATTTTGCCCAGGCCAAGCAAAACACGAAGAGTTCCGTATCCGGTTTAGCCGCTGCAACGCGAAGCCGCCGGCGTTCTGGCGGAATCGGGGGGAGCGGTGGCATCGGCGCAGGCGGCCGATCAAATTTACGATTGTACGCGACCCGGTGGACCGTTTCGTATCGCTTTACGGGCACTTTTGCATGTGGGTGTTGGACTTGGAACTTTCCCACATCTATGCGATACCTTGAGGCAGTTGAAACTACATTCTACCTTCGGGTCTTGGGTTTCCTTCAAAATGACGGAATTTATAATGTGGACTTTTAAATAGTCGAAATTTCATACTTTCGAAATTTTAAAAGATGATAATTCGGCGTGTCGATTTTAGATGAGACAAATTCCACGGGAAAACCTCAGCTTATATCAAAAGAATTCGGACTTATCTTGGCAAGATTATGAATTTTGGCATTTTGCATTAGATAGTGGGTTTCGACATTTTGCATGCTTTCAAAATATTATAATGCTGATTAAAACGTACCTTTAGACTTCTTAAAAGATGCGGCAGGGCGAATATTCATCAATTTGCGCACGCCGTTTATACGGCTTTTCGCGGGAGCCAGAATTTTGTGTATCGCAACCCGGTGATCAGCTACCACGCAAGACCACAAACGGCGTAAGTTTTGGTGCTTTAAACGATATATTTTATAATATTTCAGATTCTGTAGTCTTCGAACGCAACATCGGAAATTTGATGTGGTCTACTACTCTAATGATAGTCAAGACATGGCACGGCAGCTACATAGGGTTTTCCGGAGAGCCGGAGTCCCTAGGAATTACTCGCTTAAGGTATGCAATAACGCATTCAGCTGACTGAATACATAGAAATGGTGTAAAATAAAGCTTAATGTAAGCAATGTAAGGCACTTTTACCGTGAAATTAAACAAACACAAAAATCTACCCTTTTCAGGCTCTTCGCCACCTCACAAACTCGAGCACGAACCATGCTTTCCGAAATGCGAGGAGACAAGCCGGCTGGAGGCGTGCGATTTTAAGAAGAAGACGAACCAGGGATCTCATCAGGGCCATCTACGCCTCAGATTATGCGGCTTTTGGCTTTTAGCACATTATTAAAACCATTAAAATTTGTATATTTCCGATGTCTTGCCTTTTTTGGTGCTACCGTATTTTACGGCACACTTTGTGTAATCGGGTGCTATAGTCAAGTGTCAATAAATGTAATCACCTAAGAAGATACAGAAAATCCGTTATTGCGCTCAAAAATAATGTCGTAACGCATAAACCGTAAACTTCGAAATATTGAGGAATTTTGAAATCACAAAAGTGTCGAAACTCGAACAATAACCACCCTGCAAACCCTACAACACCCAGAAACCACCGAAACCTCCCCAAATTTAGCCACACAATGCCGAAAATCAAATTAAACACGTCGAGGGCAGGTAAAAGTCAGCATGGCGCTTTTTTTGTGGATCGAGCTGGTGGTGAACATCGTGCCTCCAACCCCCCGAAATTGGGCTTTTGCTATTGTATTTGGGTTCGTGGGCGAGCTGGGGGCCAGGTTCTGGTCCTTGGCCCTCAAAATCGGACCCAGCTGCTGGTATAAAAGCCAAGCGCGAGTTGGCAACTTCACCATCGAGTCATCGGTCGTCCATCTTAAGAAAAATGCTGTACGCCCTCGTAATTTTGCTGGTCTGCGTTGTTAGCGGTGAGTCTTTAAATGGATATACTAACTATAGCTTTTTATTTGGCTCAGACTTGGCTTAGGCTTAGCTTAAGCTCCGCTTAGATTTAGTTCACGCTTGGCTTAAGATTGGCTTACACTTGACATACGTTTAGTTTAGGCTTCGCGAAACCATAACTTGAACTAGGCTTGACAATAGACCTGACTTCGGTTAGCGTATGCGACGTGGGCTTCGCTCAAGCGTAATTCAAGCTTCGGTTTGGGTAGTCGCGGTCTAGCTTAGGCTTGGCTTTGGCTTAACTTACAGTAGGCTTCGATGATGCGAGAATTAGGCCTATGAAACATAATATTTAATTTTGATTTTCAGCCACCACCGCTACGGTCGCCGTCTTTCCGGCTGCTGTGCAGACACAAATCGTCAACGTATGTCGTGACTTAGAATCCAAGATTTAAGAACCTTTAGAACTTCAACAGCGTCCGCTCGCAAGCGGCCAGAGGAGTGTTGCGTTGGGCCAACTACACCGTGGACTATGATTATGAGATTCAGGGAGAGCCATCTCCATGGAATAAGACCTACCCCAAGTCCACAAAGCTGTACAGCTTGGTAGGTTATGTATCTCTCTATGCTTCCTCTTTCTCTCTCTTCACTCTCTCTCACACACACACGCTCTCTCTCTCTGGCTCTCGCTCTCCATGGCTCGCTTTCTTGTTCTCTGCTATTCGCTTGGCAGCGCCCAAAAGCAACTTGGAGTAGTTCAAAGTGTAGTGATAAGCCGGCGCCTTTTAGAAATGGGACGCCACCCTCGCCACCCAGGCCGTCAACCGCCTGAAAACGTACACTGCAGCCAGCCACAACATGACCTTTGCCCAGCCGGCCACCTACGGAGAGCTGACCCACGGTGTCATGTACGGCATCGCCCCCAACACCTACACGGCCGCACAGATGTGTAAGTTTCTCAGCGACACCAATAATGCTGCGAGCTCATTTCCGAATTATCAAAAACGGTTGGAAAAGCGTTGATAACTGAAAAAGGTTTGCAACTGGAATCCTTTGCAGTCACGAAAGCCTGGACCGGATCGTGGTTCGGCTGGCTGCAGAGCTTCGGTCTGCCGAAGATGGCCTACGCCAAGTCTGATAACCAATACCAGAATATGGCCTATCAGGTAAAGACGTTTCATTTGCCTTGGGTTTGAAGTAACAAAATACAGCGGTGGCTGTGAAAACGAAGAAGCTGAGTTCGTAGCTCTTAACAACGACTGCTGGCATTTCAGCTTTATCCGCTAGTAGTTGCTTAATTAACATATTTGCCAGCTTCTCGCCGGCACCTCCCAGAAAATCGGATGCGCCTACCGTAACGGAACTGGGACTGATAACACCTGGTCGGTGGTATGCGAAATGACGCCAAGGTATGTGTTTTTGACGTCAAATTCAATAGCGACAGAGTGAGAGGGCGAGAGAAAATGAGAGAGAGAGCAACAGAAATAAATTTGTAAACCTTATATTACTCTCAATTTCCAGAGGTCTGACAGCCAATGTAGCCGTCTACCCAGCGGGAGCCATATGCTCAGCTTGTCCAGCCGCCGCCCCGTGCCTCCCGAAGGCCAAGGGACTCTGCGTCCCCAAAGCATAAGCCTATCGAATATAAATCCGAATAACTGATAGGCGCCAAAAAGAATAAAGTATTAGCACGATGTGAGGTTGCATTGTCTAGATCCATATCTGCAGGGTTCCCAATAAAAACACCCCCTCTAAATAGAGTCGGAGTCGGAGTCGGAGCAGAATGATAGTTACATCATTCGAAGGCGCTTGAAACGGCGAATTTCCAGCAATCTTCAAACCACGTCTGTATCTAAAATCTTCGATTTTAAATGGCATCTAAAAAAATAAGGAACCGCATCTGCGGCAACCACCCGCTATTTTACGTGCAGGAACTGAGGCAAATTATCTCGTATGCAACCCCAAAAACCATGAAATTTACAAAATGGCTTGTAAGATAGAGGGTTTAGCTAAAAGCACGCTTTTGAAGATTGTTGCAAACTCGCCTTTTCGCGCGCTATCGAATGGTGTAACTTTCAGGATGATCCTATACTTCTCCGTCGAGTTATAGGGTTTTTTTACTGGGACCCCTAACTTGATTGATTCGTGACAACTTTGATGCCGGTCCCTTTTGAATTATCTGTTGTCTATTCACGTCAGCTGGATCGGCAATTCCTTTTTTGGTCCATGAGGAATGGCAATGCCGGACATAATTTATTTTGCAAATTGACCCGAAATTCAATTGTAAAATGTCTATCAATGGTGTTCCTAGGGTTGTCACGGTTTCTCCAGCTCTCGTTCAATCACAGCGCGATCCCCCTTCCTTGGCAGACCTTCACGAAGGGCTCGCTGCAGTGGCTTTATCATTAATGCCAGCCCATCTTCTGTGAAGTGACATCCATCGTCAATGTATGAATGCCTTGTCTCTGGGTTGAACGTCTTGAAAACCCCGAGATGATGGTCTAGATCGGCAAATAAGGCTTAAAAGTGCACATACCAATGAAAGATTGTTGTACATTGACCAAAAAACATTTCTTGCACTTTTTCTTAATCCAACGCAGCCGATTTCGGGTGGGATTTTGCTCGAATTGCTTGACCTAAAGGGTGATGAAATTTTGCAGAGTTATGGGAATTTTTACATTCATCGGAATATGCATTGAGTCGACTTCGACCCCTCTCTCGATACGGTCCAAATAGTTGGACATGAAGTTCTTCATATTTGGGAGGTAGGGGCGCGATCGGATCTCGCAGCTGAACGGGAAGTCGAGGTCGATGAAGATCCGCTGCGTTAGGTTGCTAAAAAAAGATATAGGATCCGGAAACGGAAGCGGGAACTTCTTGGGTCATGGCATAGCGCTAGTTCGTGCAAATCCGTACCTCAAGCGCTGCAAAACTTCTAAAAATCGCTGCGATCGTGGATCTTTGCCCTCTTTTCCAAAACGGTCATAGTCTCCATGTCGGAACACATATCTAAACATGAATCATTATATTTTGACGTGATATTACACAGATTAAAATTATCTAAATTTGGTTAGCTTAAGGTACCTCATTGATATAATGACAATTGTCGGCCGCCTTTCCTCCAGGGCACTCCAGGCTTTTTCGGTGTGTACTGGAATTACGCGATTAGAAATGAGCCCACTCCCGAATTCGAGAATTAGCGCTAACTGTAAAGTGTTTTTACTCAACTTGGAGTTTCGATTCGGGACCAAGTGCATCTTGTACAGAATTTTTCGCGGATTCCGGATATTTTTTCCAAATTTGCTACGGACCGTTATTCTGATAGTTATACGGCAATTATGACCCTAGTTTTCACCAAAATGAAGGTATCGTTATAGTTTTCGATTTTCTTTATTAATTTCAACGTCAAAATTGACTAGGCGTTGGGTCGACAAGCATCCTACAGCTCAAAACAAGCATTTTAGATAAAAAATGAGCTTTTTATGCAAAAAGCAAAAGGTTGTGGCAGGGCGGAGGTGCGAACCGCCGCCCTGCGCTTGGCAAGCGAGTACTTTGCCAATGCACCATGGTGCCAACTGAGTAGGGTGCTGTCAGAGGGTACTTCAGGGCCCCTGGCAACCATAACCCCAAACAAGGAATAGTGGGCCAGCGTCTGAATTTTTGGCATTTTTCGGCCTAATTGTTACCAAAGATGATTTTTTAAATAAAAGTCCGTAGCAAATTTGGAAAACATATTCGGAATCAGCGAAAAATTCTGCACAAGATGCGCTTGGTCCCGAATCGAAACTCCAAGTTGAGTAAAAACACTTTACAGTAAGGAGAAATAGGAAGCACTCAGAACTTTTGCTTCTAATCATGATTTTGGTGGAGTTAAGGTTCAGAATATTCTAATCACATGCTTCTATTAATATCCTTACCTGGCCACTCGTCGATGAGCGGCATCTTTCCTGGAGTTGCAAAAAATTCGAAAGTCGACCGTAGGGTGGCCGGGATAGCCCGTTCTATCACCTAAAAAGAAGCCAAAAGGTATACGCAAGCTTTCGCAAATTTACCGTAACCCGCTGCGGGGCGTACGAATTTCCCAGCAAGAAAATACTGATATTCCCGGTGCCATCCTAAAACAGATTTTTATGAAGTTTAGTTCACTCCCGGGAGAAACATTCTTTTTTCCGGCAAATACAACCTAACGTATGATATATCAGGTTGTTAGATCCAGACTATTAATAAGTTAAGGTATCAGGTTGGAACGAAAGTTCTGTCGCCGAGATTTTAGGAGGCTGGCTAAATTCGTAGATAGCTCCATTCTGCACATGCGATATGTCGTTTTGTAGCTCTCGGTCTGAACGGTTCCGGGAGGAGGGTCCTGGGCCATCAAAATCAAGAACGGCCGAGATACAGGCCCAAGAAGAGTTTTCAAAAATTACGAGAAAGTGTTTTTGCAAGTTATCTCTGCATAGAGCAATTTGCATGCGATACCTTTAACGCCAATCGGTAGCTCTCGAGGAGTAGATATCGATAGATGTTGAGATCATCCAATTTGGACACTGGATCGCCGAGACATGGCCCCTTGAAGTTTAGCCCATTTCTTAGAACTTTTCTCGATTTCCCATACATTTTTTCAAAATCCGCTCCGCTAGTCCAAAAAAAAAAGTGGTAATTTTTGGCACCTGCCCGTCAAATTTTTGGAAATGTATGGGAAATCGATAAAAGTTCTAATAAATGGGTCAAATTTCAAGGGCCCATATCTCGGCCGTCCAGTGTCCAATTTTGATGATCTCAACATCTATCGATATCTACTCCTCGAGAGCTACCGATTGGCGTTAAAGGTATCGCATGCAAATTGCTCTATGCAGAGATAACTTGCAAAAACACTTTCTCGTAATTTTTGAAAACTCTTCTTGGGCCTGTATCTCGGCCGTTCTTGATTTTGATGGCCCAGGACCTTCCTACCGGAACCGTTCAGACGGAGAGCTACAAAACGACATATCGCATGTGCAGAATGGAGCTATCTACGAATTTAGCCAGCCTCCCAAAATCTCGGCGACAGAACTTTCGTTCCAACCTGATATCTTGCACAACGTACCACCAAATGCCCATGCCCCATTGGCCCCGTGAGCTCAGGATCGACGAACGAAAAATTGATGTTCTTCCCGACGTAGTAGTTCATACGGTCCAAATTCCATTGGACAGCCTCGTCAGAACCTAATCTACAAATTATAGCAACGTTAATTGCCCCACTATTCCGGTTCAGCAGCCCCTGACGCCACCCCAAATCGATCGAGAATGACGCGGCGAAGAGGCAGGCAACCAGTGGAAGGATCACGGCTTTCTTGGCGTGAAGAAGTGGTTTTTCGTAGAGATGATGCACCAGAATGCCGAGAACAATGGAGATGATGAAGCCGACGAGAGGGACTAGAATGAGAGACTGTTTGAAGCTGGATTTGCGTGAGGATGTATCAGAGAACGGAGAAATTTTCTTGAAATTAAAAATAACGCGTTGCGCCGGGAATTAAAATTGCATTTTTTTGACTCGGATTCTCCATGTTTTTTTTTGGCTCCGCAAATGTAATATTGCTCTGAGTTATTTCGTGGAATTTTCGCAAAAAAGCCTATCTAGGGTGTCCCAAAACCCCCTCCCCTCGGCATTCGGCCCGCATCGCATCGGTATTGAATTTTTAACAGCGATGGGGAGCCATAAAAAATATGTGCAGCCAAATTTTCTAAGCAAAATATTGCAAAACAAAAAAAAGTTATCGTTAAAAACTGATCTTTGGAAAACGCCGGCACTTGTACGGGTCATATATGTTTTCGCAATTTTCCGAAAAATGGTCATTTTCGAGTCGGTTTCTGCCAATTTTGCTAATAAAAAGTGATCAAAAGTCGCAATTTAGACGTGATTTTCGTAAATCAAAAAATTTATCCGCGTGGAAAAAGCGCCTTTAGAGGAATACTGAGCTCTCCATTTTTGCTAAATCTTTCGAGGTCCAGATCCGTCAAAATCCTAGTGAAATCGGCAAAATAAACCTTAATTTCTATATATCTTTTGTGTTTTACAATATTTTGCTTAGAAAATTCGGCTGCACATAGGTTTTCATGCTTCCCATCGCTGGTCAAAATTTGGTCTAGATCCGACAAAAGACGGCCACATGCCGTGGGGTTTTTTGGACACCCTGTATATTGAAAGCTGAAGGGCCTAGACAAAAAAGAGTTGCATTCGGAATCAGTATAACAACGACATCATATGAACTCTTCTAGTCATCGCTCCGGAGCCACCAACCTGGAATCTGGCATAGCCATCCGGCCATATTTGAACAATAGATCTCTAATAAACCTAAGAAAAACACTAAGAAGAGGATTTTTCAGATACCCTTTGGTCCACGCAAGCTGGATGAATTCTCGATTGCTTTGACAAAGCAAAAGAAATATCCGTGTTTTGAGTGACATCACCTCTCTCCGAGCTGCGGGCGAGGCGGTACCCCGACTCATCCAGTGTATAATCTTCCCTGGGTATCTCTAAACTTTCTTTTTCGACTTCACGGCATCGCTAATCTCTGGTTTCGTACGATCATCATCGCGATTTTCGCTCCTTTTCGTCCGATCCTTCTGTTTTCTGCCGGTTACCACTGTTGTTCGATGTGATCTAGACAATTTCCCCATACGATTTGCTCCTACTCCCCCGACTCCATGCGGCCAATTTATTTAAAGGCCTCAAGAACGATGGGGTACTCCAGCCGCAGGGTTACGGCTGACTTGCTGAGCGCGGAAACCCCTGGTGACGTAAATATTCGCGCCGCGTTGGAGAAGGGTGCCCGGGCAGGTTATCCCCCTCTCTCCGCCTAGTGCCGCTTGGTGTGTATAGTGGATCGTGCGTTGTACTGTCGGTCCAACGGTGCGGGTGCGACCCCTGTCCGGTGCAAACAAATGTTGCTTTTCGCGAAAATCACCGTTCTTGAGGCCTTTAACTTTATTTAGCTGGACTTTGGTTTTTCCGAAGTAAAAACGGGGTGATTAACTCTGAAATATAACATAATTCGATTCGACGAAGCCCAGGTCCAACGCCCCCCATCGGCTGAACTATATTTCCTTCCAGGGGTCGACGAATTTACCAAAAATTCTCTTTCTCCTTGCAATCCGCAGGCGATATCCATCGAAGGGCGAGTCTGGGTGTTCTTCCCGATTGCGAAATTCCGGATTTTTCTACAACTTACTCAGATTTTGGCGTACGGGCCGAATTTGTCAAGCATTTTGGATGCACGGTTATTCATAAAAACGCAATTTATGTATTTTCCGCCTTTCCTGGAAGCCTGATGACAGATTTTTAGGTTCTTTCGCATTATCGGGGGAGACCAAGTGTGACCAGTGTTTCTGAATGGTTTTTACTTCTTAAACGTGAAACCTATATAATTTTATTAAAAAATGTCGCAAATACCGATTTTTACCAATACTGGCCGATTTTTGGCCAAAATTTCGATTTTTCTAAACTTTTAGATAGTTTTTCTAGTTGAAATGTAGTTATTTTTTTACTAAGAACACTTTAAAACACTTGCCATCAGTTACTAGACATTTCTAGCCTTATATAAAAAAAAATTAGGTCTCCCGATAATGCGAAAGCACCGCTTTTAAAACCCATGTGAGAAAACCCTGCTGGGATAGCGCCGAAGCAGATTAACCTGACCGTTGACGTCACCATAACTTACCAGCTGAATTTTATGGTATAGGATGGTTAGCTAGAAGAAAACAATTTTATCCAAGTTATCCCGTAGCGCCCTATAACGAAGTATAAACCTTTTTTGTAGCATTTTAGAGTTTTTGGAGATAAAAAATCTTTAACTTTGACTTTTAGTCCAAAATGTTAAAAAATAGCTTTGCGTAAATTCTTACCTTGCTGATCCAATTTGCAGAAATCGCGGATTTTGCGCTGCGATCTAAATAGAACAGGCATAAAATCGTGGAATGAACAATTACCTCCGACAGTTTGGACCAATCTTGCCCGGAAATTCGCAGCGGCCTACACACGGATGGCTTCAGGCCCGTGGAAAAAAGCTCGCACTTTCCAAGCTTGATTGTACTATGAGGCTAAAACTCAATTTTTATTGCCGAAACCATTATTTACCTGTAAGATCTCACACAGCTCGATGACGATGAACTTCTCGCTGATGTCGCACGGACTGCGCATGTATTTGTCTTTTTCCTGGAAGGTAATAAATCCAATTTCTAAAAAATTGCAGCGTACTTTGTCATTGAGCAACGCCTTCGTGTTCTCCGCGCCCGCATTCGCCGTTATTATCTTGGCACCACATTCGCGGGAAGCATAGTTGCAGCGTAGCCGCCGAGCCTTCATTTTTGACGTGCGGCTGCGGGGCCCCGTTGACGACGGGTTGGACGCTGGCAAGCTGCTCGTTGCGCTTCAGTTCTTGCTTCAGTTTCTCCCTTCGTCCACTCGTCAAAAGTGGCAATCTGGGGCTTCGGCTCGGCGGAAGGAGGAGGTTTTGCCTAAAAAATTGTTCTATCAAATTGAAGAGCTGGATAAAACGTCATTTGTGGATTTTCTCAGAAAACCTCGCGGCGCATCGTCTCAAGTTGAACGTTTAGTGTCTTGTTGATGTGCGTGGTGGCGTTGATTACGGCCCCGTCGGCAATCCGCTTTGCCTAAATCAGATTACTAGAAAACCACGGAAATTCCTACCCGAACAATGTTCTTCTCCTGTGCTTCAGACTGCGCCACGTACTGCCGGCTGAGTTCGGAGAGATATTCGGATGAGAGTGACATGTTCAACTCCAACGCGGCGATGCGCTTGTTCAACTTGATGAAGACGGATTCCTAAAAATGAAAAATTAGGAATCGTGGTGTAAAGAAGGGCTGGCAAGAGCCAAATTGGACTAACTACCAAAAGGCTTACTTTGTGCGTCAGCGATGAAGCCGGCAGCGACTCGGGGACGGGCTCCTTGATCGGGGCTGTCGTAACTTGGGCCGTAGTGGTAGAGGCCGTGTAGGAAGTCGCTGGTTGATCTCCGGTAGCAGCGACGGGATTCTCGGCCTGCTTGAGCTCGATGGGCTTCGGTGGTGGTGGCGGGCTTTCAATCGGCTTTTCCGGGATTCCCGTTGCCGGTTCCGGAGCTGGCGGCGCTTCTTTGGCCTGCTCGACGGCTTTGATCGGCTCCTGCGAAGACGGCGTCGCCTCCACGGAAATAGCCGGCGTCTGCTCGAACTGAGGCGAAGCTACGTGTGCCAACGTGAGGAAGAAGCGCTGCAGAAAAGAGAACCGCAGCCGCCGATAGCGTCGGCGCGTCCCGAGTGTGTCCAGGAACTTGCGGTTGGGCACAGCGGGCTTGGGAACCGGCCTGGAAATGTTTCAGAATTGGTTTTCAGATATGGTCGTTCTTGATGAAAACAAAATTTTTAACTACTCACCGAGTTTTGATGATCAAGCCAGCGACCTCGCAAAAACGCTTTGAATTCGCCGACAAGGTTCGATTTTTTTGGACGGCGCAAACGTTGCAGATGAAGTACCAGCCCGGTGAGTTGAACTTGCTGAAAAAATATTATTTATTTTGAAAGGAAAAGCTCTTACATCTCCTTTTTCGTGCCGAACGACCAGACGTTGACAATCTTCCTTAGCAGGTTTCTTGGCGTCAACTGCGACTCGTTGCTTGGGTCGGCCAATGAAGACTTCTTCGGTAGTTCAATGGTGCTGTCATCGAGCTTCGGCTTGACCAGTTCAGGCGTCGGTGGGATCTGGGCGGGAGGTTGGGGCGGCTTCTGAAAGGAAGGTTTCAACGAAAACTGGATTCAGCCAATTAGCAACCAAAATGCGAAATCAAGCAAGGCGATGTCCCAACGAAAAACCAATTTACCCGCGTGATCTCCTTCTGCACTTCCACCACGGCCGGCGGCACTGGTTGTGTAGCAGTGGCCGTATTGGCAGCGCTGCCGATGCGCCCTGCAGCGATCTCAGCCTCGGCCTCATACTCCTCCACAATCGACATCCCAGGACGCGCAACATTGTCAGGGTGCAGTAGTGTTCCTTGCCGTAGTGGGATAGAAGTTCGACCTAAAAGTGCCAATAAAAACCACAAAAACGAAAGTACCTTTAGAAACTTTGCATAAAGCCCCATCTTGGTCACGCGAAACGTTTGCAGAAATCGCGAATCTTGCGCTTCGATCTAGAAAAACGTCATGACGTGATTTTTAACATAATCCTTCAAAAAAAGTTAAATTTTTCAGAAACTACCTCCAACACCGTCGACCACTCGTTTGCCGGGAACTTTTCAGCAGCTGACACGCGGATGGCCTTCGGGCCGAGGGAGAACAGCTCGTAGTTGCCGAGCTCAATTGTATGGGGCTAAAAAAAATTTTATTTTAGCAACTATTATTTTTACCTGTATGGTCTCACACAGCTCGATGACGATGAACTTCTCGCTGATGTCGCACGGGCTGCGCATGTATTCGTCTTTTTCCTGGAAGGTAACAAATCCAATTTCTTAAAAATCGCAGCGTACTTTGTCATTGAGCAACGCCTTCGGTGTTCTCCGCGCCGGCATTCGCCGTTATTAGCTTGTCACCGCATCCCCGAAGCTAAGTTGCAGTGGTCACCAAGGAAGGAAGGCCGGAAGTACCTGCATGAAAACGCTATTTAGGCATATTGAAGAACGCAATCTGAAAACGAAGAGTCTGAAGGCACGAAAATTTGAAAAACTCAAAATAAAATGTGTTCAAAGTAGTTTCACGGACATTTTAATTGCTTTATCGCATCGGCAAGTCGGTAAGTACAAAAAAAAGCATCATTATATCGGGTGGGTACAACTTTTAACGGTCTATAAGCTCATTATATCGGGTGGGTACAACTTTAAACGGTCTATATTCGATCGATCTATAATCGAGTAGTTTGACGAGCCGGGACGCGTTCACGCTTCACCCCTTCTCTTCCCACCTTCGCAATTTGCACCGCGAACAGGCACCTGAAAATACCCGATCAACCATGCGGCCGGACAACAGATCCATCTATAGTATAGGTACGAAGTACCCCACTTGTGTTCGGGCATTTTCCCTCACAGGGGGGGCACCTCTCAAGCCTCTGGACAGCCTTCCTGAAAATCACGCATCCAATACAGTGAGTCAGTTTTTCTGCTTAACAAGATTTTTTGCCAAAAACCCAACGTGAATTTGTTGCGGCAGGGGTGGCAAGCCGCAACTCCGAGCTCATCGTTGAGGTCGGTGGCCTCGTGCTCCTCCATTTGACAAAATCCATGCTAAATGGAAAGACGCATATTTGGAATCTTTCACCTTCTTCATTTTATTTCGAGTACAACCTACCCAGGTCTTGCGCGGACGTCCTTTCGTGTTGCCAACAAGGCCTTTCTCCTTTCCCCCGCTTCCGGGTCTAAAAGCGTAGATTAAGAGCGGTTATTTTCCTTGAAATTCCGAAGGGTACTTGGACTTGCTAAGCAAACTTCAAGAAAGCCTTGCCTTTGACTTGTTCTTCGTAGCAACTTGCAGGTCGGATGGCTGCTTAACTAGGTCGGATGGCTTAACTTGCTCTTCGACTCGAATGGCCTGAAAAGATGGCATTACTAGCGAAAATCAATGGAGCGGAGGCAGGATTGGCGCAGGCCGACCTCTTTTCGGGGGTTGCGCGTATCGTCTCGGCTCACGTGATGGTCGCGTTCCGTGGTCTGGGCAAAAGAGAAAAATGAGCAGGTAAGTTTATCGGAGAGGTGATATTTGAATCACGTTTCAGACCTTGCCTGGGTTGCAAAAGGCGCCGCCTGTAAAAACCTACAATAGAAGGGCGATAGTTCATCTGCAACAATTTGTTCTTCCGTTCGTCTATCTCTTCTTCTCTCTTCTTCAGTTTCTTCAGGCGCTCACCGTTGCTGTTGTAGAGTTTCGTAAACTAAAGAAACTTTACTTCGAGATCGACACGAATGAAGCTAACTAAAGATTTGATGTCGCCTAGGAAAAACGCTGAAGCGCCGCAACGGCGCAGACTCACATAGTCAAGGGCATCCTTCGACTCGGTGATGCACTCCTCGGCATTCAGTCGAAAAGCGGCTTCGGATCTTCCGAGCATGCCAAATTCTGTCACCCGGGTCTAAGCGAGTCATTTAGAAGAATCACCGAATTACCTGAAAATAACTCGTTTCCTCCATGGACTTCGGGGCCGCTCGCACCGGGATGGTTTTCTGAAAAAGAAAAATTCCTGAACGTAGCCTTTATGGATTGGTCGGTCTAAATAAACGAAAAATTACCGACTCCTCGTCACTCGTCCCCGTGCCTATGCGCGGCAAGGCCGCGTCTGCTTCGCGGGTGGGTGGGACCAAACTTGCGGCTTCACGCTTCTTGCAGCAAAAGACGCGGCAAAAAACGCTGCCAGCAAGATCGTTTTGGTTCGGCCTCGCTATAAAAAAGCCATGAACAACCGAAGTATGACGAAGTTTAGCACAAAATTGCTAGGATTACCTCTCGGTCGTCCCTTCTCCCGCGTCACCCATGTCGCCACCACCCAGTCCTCTCAGATTGGACCCCAACGCCTCAAAGACTTCATCTGCCTAAACATCAGCATTTTAGCAGGTGGGAGAAAACAACGTCGTGTTGTAGTTCCTTTAATCGCTCCCTGAGAAGCTTCTCGTTCTCGATGGAATTGGCCAACTAAAAATCATTGAAATAAAGGTGAGCGGCGAATACGTCAAGGTCATTTAAATCATACCTGTTCATCGAGCGTCGCGCCCACCGTCCGTAGTTGATTTATGCGACGTTGCAGGTCCTGATGTCAGCGCCGCAGCGGCGTGAAACATCTAAAGGCACTGACGTTCGCGCCGATGGCACTTAGCAAAGTGTTCGGTTTAAAATTGCACAGGCTCTTTGCACCTCGTTCATGGAAATTAGGTATGCAAAAACTACTACTACTCGGTTGTTTTTGCGCGGTCCGTTGCGCGACCAAATGCGCGGGACCGGAGACTGGCAGGGACGGGGTCCCGCGCATTTCGGCGAGCGGCGGCCCAATGCGCGGTTTATGATCACGAAATTCCATAAATTGAAGGTTTTTCAAGTCAAGGGCCTTCTAGAGGTCTCTTTCGGTTTTCCGATTTCGTTCGCTTGGCATTCACACTTCTACGATGAAGGCAAACGAGTCTAAAGCAAGGAGGCTCGCCCCCCCCAAGGCCCAAACTGCTCCTGCTCGTTGTTGGCCGTGCAGCCCTCGATACTACTGCGTCATCATTTCAAACCTTTTTTATTCCACAACGCTCTCGTGTTTCCGGATCACAACATATTTGGGGTGGGGGGAATGTCACGCGAGAACAGATCTCCACAACAGATTTGGCGTGGCCCATCAAAGAAAAGATACATCACATTTTGGCAAGGGGCAGGGGCAACGACGCAGCGTCGGAATAAAACGCTATTACAACCAAAAAGACCAATAATAATATCTGGTGGTACCCATCATCACAAATTTGCATTTATAGGCTTGAGCAAAGTCAGGGGGTACACATTGGGAATCGACGGCGGGGCAATAACCTGTTTAGTGAGCAAAGAAAAAAAACCAATTCCACAGAACTAAATACTAAATATTTAATCGTAAAAACGGTTGAATAATAATCACATAGAGCTCCTGTGAGGCTTGGGGCGGCCTTAAATTGCATGTATTTTATGTATAAAATGGGGGTGATAATTCAATAAGGGGGATAAACACTCGTAATGGGCTGTGCGTTGCAAAAACGGAGGCACATTAGTGGTGGGAGACCCAGTAGGTGGGCGAGTATACAAAAAATAGCAAATAATCACAGAGTTGATTTTGAAGGGTTAGTGAGTTATGAGGGTCGAGAAATAGAACAACTTTTAAGCGCTTCAAAAGCCAAAAATTTGCCTCAAAAACGATCCTCATATGGACGATGGGGATGACTAGGGGGAATGAGAGTGGCTGGGACATTCACAAACAAAAAGTGAGCAAGAAAAGTGAGCAAGACTGGGCGAGATGGAGTAATACAGTAATACAGACAGGGCGCACCTAGAATTTCGCATAGATGCCGTGGTCGATGTCGGATTGGAGCTGGGCGGTCAGGAGGCAGTAGCCCTTGTCGGCGGCGCTCCAGTAGTAGATGGAATCTCCGCCACTCTTTGCCAGATCGTAGCCCTGCTTCTGCAGCTCGAGCTTCTTCAGTTTGAACGTGCCTGAAATCCGGGATTTAGGGGATGAGGTCGTAAAATAATTGAATAGATAAACAATAATAATAATAAAATTAAGTTCTTCTACAATCCCAACTGCCGACCAGTCTTGTCGACCTCCTTCAGGAATCGGATGAACACGGGCACGGCGTAGGAGGCGAGGTTGGAGGTCAGCCGCTGGGCGATGTCTTGCAGGAATTTCTAAATTTCGCTAAATTAATCTACGAAAAACCGACCTCGTGATCGACTCCGGGCACCAGGACGACGCCAGCCATTCCAGCTCGACCCTCCATTTTTCCGACCTACAAAAAACACAAATTAAACGTGAAAAACCGCAATTAAAACCTAGCTCGAAAAACATACCTCAACCCCATAAACGGTGGCATCCTCGACCTCCATGACCGGCTGCAGAATGCCTTCGACCTCGGTGGTGGACACGTTTTCGCCCTTCCACCTGAACAATTGGCATTTTTGATAAGGACACCACCGCTTTTCGATAAGTATGATAACCACAAAAACACGTACCGGAATGTGTCTCCTCGTCGATCGCGGAAATACAGGTAGCCCAGAAGATCCCAGTAGAGAATATCGCCGGAAGCGAACACCTGGTCGCCCTTGCGCAGAACGTCGCGATAGATCTTCTTTGCCGTGTCGCCCTTGTTCACGTAACTGAGCGTAAAAAATTCGAAATAAAAACTACACTAAAATACCAACCCCTCAAACTTCAGGAGCGGATCGTTGCTCTTAATCACGCCAATCATCTCGCCAGTGTCGCCGGGTGAGCAGGGCACGCACAAGCCGTCCTGAAGTGAGAAAATAGGTATAAAATGTAGAAACCGTTAAAATACCCCTTTCTACACTCAAGCCACAAATAAGCGCACGACTTACCGGTCCTCGCACAAGTTCGCCGGTCTCCTCGTCGACCTTGATCAACCGCACGGGGTACAGCTGGCCAATGTGCGGGTAGATGGGAAAAGAACCCGCACGAGCCGACGTGGTTGTCGATGTTGACTGCAAAAAATCATTATAAAAATGGCTGCTTTATTCACTAATATTGCTGTTGCCCTCCGTCGACCCGTACAGCTCGCCGACGCGCTCGATGCGGAAGCGCTCAACGAACGGCTTCCAGATCTCGGGCCGCAGTCCGTTGCCCCACATCACGCGCACCTTTTGCTTCTTCTCCTCGGCCGATTCGGGCTGTGCCAACAGATAACTGAAAATTAGAGTTTTAAAAATTTTAGATCCTCGAGAGTATGATAAAGGCGAGCGAGCGAGAGAGAGAGAGAGCGAGAGAGAGAGAGAGAGAGAGAGGAGAGAGAGAGCGAGAGAGAGAGAGGGGGGGGAGATAGAGAGCGAGCAGCACTTACCGACAAATCTCTCCAATGTATTGGCTAGCGGTGCAATCGTACTTGACGCAGTCCTTCCAGAAGTTAGACGCCGAGAACTTCTTGCGGATGACGGCCGTCGTTCCGGCGACGATCACGCTACCGATGCCCATAATTCCTTAAAAAAATCGATCAAAGCAAAAACTTGAAATTCCAACCTGCCGCGCTGTGATACAGGGGCATAGTGATGTAGACCTTGTCGTCGGGAACGATTCCAAATGCTCGTTGGGCACCCATGGCGATCCAGAAATAACTAAAAACGTTGAAGATACAAAGTTTAAAAATTCGGCCCTACCGGAAATGCTTGATGACGGCCGGCTTGGGGTTTCCGGTGGTGCCCGACGTGTAGATGTAGCAGAGGATGTCTAGAAAAGTTTATTAAAAGTGCAGATAATCCATAAAGAGTTCGAAATTTCAATGTCCGTATTTCCAGATTTTTTTACCGCGAGCAAGAGACTAAAATCCCATTCGAAAGAACTAACTCGTGAAGGTGACGCCCTTGTTCGGTGGCTCGTTCGTAGATACGGACTTTTCGCGAGTCGCCCTGGCCAGACTAGGATATTCCGATCCATCCCCATCGACGAGCAGAATCTTCGTGTCTTCCGGGAGCAGCTTCTGGGCGATCGCCGCCTTGAGCACTAGAATAAAACGCTATTTCGAATTTCCGAAAAAACATACTTGGCAACAAATTAGTGGAGGTGATCACCGACTTGCCCTCGGCCACGCGAATCGAGTGGGCAAGGGGCTCGAGCTTCAGGTTCGAGTTGATGAACGCCGAGACGACGCCGATCTAAACGATTTTGTGATCCCAAGATTCATAAAAAGAAAGCAAAAAAATGGAATTTGGCGCTTTTTGAACAACCTTACCTTTGACAATCCCAACCATACTGCAAAGAAGTCGATGCTGTTCTCCAAGAAGAGCGAAATCACATCCCCGTTGTTGTAGCCTTTCGTCTAAATGATAAAATTATACATTTTGTTGAAGACGCTCACCTCAAAATAATTTGCATATTGATTACAGTGTCGGTTGAGCTCGTCGAAGTTCAGCGACTTCCCGGTCTCAATCTCGATGACGGCCGTTTTTTCGGGGATGTTCGGCCACCTAAAAAGGGCGGTCTTATAACTCCGAGGGGCTTTTCGCAATTTTAAACCGATCCCAAAAGCTTAAGACTCTCACCTTTTCAAGGAAAATCTTATGGATGGGCTCGTTGTTGGCGAGTCGTCTCTTAATTTCCCGCTTTACGCTGATGAGCAGTTTTAAACCCCTGCAAAATTGCAGCTTTATTTTGGAACGGCTGCAGGAAGCAAATTTTTCGCGCCGAAAAACTCACTTGGCATCCCGGGAAATCGTGGCGCGGACCCGCTGAAAGAAGTCGGTGATCCACACGCGGTAGCCGATGAACAGGCAGAAGACGGTGAACCACCAGGATCTGAAAAAAAAGGATTTTTCCCGATTCTAGACAATTCTAGACAAAAATCCACAGAAAATTAGACGCACCTGCCAAACATTAGCATCACCGCGGCAAACATGCCTATCCGTATAAGGGCCCGTCTTGGAGTGTCGTCCATTCTGGAAACGTGGATAAATTGGGTGCACACTAGGCAAAAAGCGCGTAAAAGATAGGGCATCAAAAATGCCTCGAAAACGAGACTAATTTTTAGGAGATCTCAAATTTCATACCGCCTGCTCAGCGGTCGCGCCCCCGAATGATGAAGTTTAGCGCCGGGCGCGGGCCAAAGTTTATGCAAACTACGAAGGAAATTGCCCCAGGGTATTCCGACAATATGGACAGATCGGAATCGAGAAATTATACTTTCGAACGTTCAAGTCAAAAGCTTCGAGTCTCGGCAAGTATTTTCATAGCAAAAAAAGCGATCGTTATCGAATTGTCGGGGCTGGTATCTTTTATACGGGTTAAGGGTCCATGATGGTGAGAAAAAGATACAATTTACATCCCCGTTCAAAAGCATTTAAACGATTGATTTCTTAAAAACGACGGAGATCTGAACCTGCCGACGGCAAGTTTCACAATTTCCACAGCATCTTAATCGCAGAGCGCCGAAATAAGGGCCCAAAAAACCTCAACTACAACCCGAAAACGGAATACTTTGACCAATCCACCGGGTCAAAATACCCTCCAAAACGAGATGAGGCGAGAGGAACGGGAGGGGCGGTGCTGGCCACCGAACGATAAGGCACCGCGGCCCGGCCAAGGTATTCGGCGGCCAAATCGGACCGCGGCCAGATAAGGGCCCCTCTTCTGATTCCGCTTCTTCTTCTTCTTCTTCTTCGTCTTGTCTTGGCTTAGGGGCAAAACAACAGCCGATCCGCTGAATTCTGGCCGCCGCCGGGGCTACGCTTTTTGCGAGGAACTGGCCCACAAAAGATAATCGAATATGGATTCGATTTATGGCCCTATGGGCGCGGACAAAGACGGATGGGGCAAGGTGCAAGGCGGAAAAAGCAAATCTGCAGTCTGATCGAAAATGTAGCTACGTTTAGTTTAGTACTGTAATGTTAGCGGGGATATCCACCTGTAAAAAACCTTGTAGCGTTTTATTGAGAATTTTATGGCCTTTTTAGTAGTCTAAATTACCAACCATCACAAATATTTTTTGGAACATTTAAAAATCTGCTCAAAAATCCAGGTTTTTCGCGAAAATTATTTTTATCAGCTTATACATTTCAAAACCCCGAAAAAAGCGTTAAATAGCGTATATTTCATTATTGGGATCTGCGAGGGCGATAGGCGAAAGTTAGGTCTACCCGCGAACAGCCAAGTACACTCAATTTCAGAACATTGAAACAAAAAAAATAATGTAGTCAGAAATCAGAAATTCACTCAGAATTCGATGAGTGCGGAAGGGACAGCTTCTTCATGTCACGCACGAGGTCTAGGAATGGCTAGTGACCCGGGCTTAGCAACGGACGAAAGGGCTAGGTGGTAGCCGTAACGGGAACGAAAAGACCATCAACCCCCAAGGGGGGTAAAAAGCCCCGAAAAAAAGCAGCCGCACCCCTTGAAAAAGAGGAGGGCAACGCGTATGCAAATCAGCGGGCGCAGCCGGCCTGGAAGCCCCGAGTCACCCACAAACCCGATCCAAAGCCGGATACCCGGTCCAGAAATGGGAGGCACGCGAGAAGGGGGGAGAAGGAGGGCGAAAGCAGGAACCACTGATGATCAGCCGGGAGGTGTGTCAGGAGAAAAAGTTCGTCGTGGGCTGGCTATTAAAACCTGCCCAACTCCTGCGACTTTGAACTTGCCGAACTCGGCGAAGTAAAGCCTAAATTAGGGTTTCAGCGCTTTGTTTTCAGCTAACGTTTTCGGGGATTTGCGGGGATTAGTTATCTTGAAACAAGTCACAGCGGGGCAGCGAGCAGTGTTACTTTGTGGGCTCTGGAATTACGGCGAAAGTTCAATTTACGAACTAAGGAAGGTTCCAATTTGCTCCCTCAATTTGAGACAACCCGAAAAAATCACCGAAACCGTTCCTATATGAGAGCCCGCGATTTTCCACACCAGATAATGGAGGAATTTACGAATTCAAAAAAAGGTTAAAATTTGTTGCGAGATACGCGGGTGGAGCCGGTTTTCCAGAAAAATTCCCCGAAACGGTTTTTGATGGAACGGAGGGCGGGGTGAGAAGGAGTGAACGGTGTTTATTTTGGCACACACACGGACACGTACTCGCCGGCTAACCGTAGGGGGGAATGGGGCGGAAAAGGCATATCGTCTGTTTGCCCACAAGCCCACAAATATGGCGTTCCGGGGATCGTGTCGAAATTGTGGGCGCGGAAATGCCCTCAAGTGCTCTCGAATCGGTATTGTGGACAGTAAAAGTTACGAGAGAGAGAACGGTAATAAATAAAGTCATTCCAATCAAGCATCCCTTTCTAAAAAATGCCAGAAATTTAAAATTCAAAAAGGAAATAAGCGAGCTTTCAGAAAAAAATCCACGTATTCCGATCATCGTCATTTGTCAAGTAATGTATCATATCCAAGCCTAAGGCGATAAACAACCCATATGCTTTCAACCGGAGCTGAGGGTCGGGGCGTCTTCCAAAAAAATGCATTCGGAATGCGGGCCGGAGGAACGGGCGTGGAAATAGCCGAAACGGCAACATTACGACCTCTTTTCGATCTCTGGCGCACTCTCTCTCTCTCTCTCTCTCTCTCTCTCTCCGTTTTGAGACTTTTCTCTAGGGGATGGGCCGGAAGCCGCCCCGGCAAGGGATGGGTCAATGATTAACCCGGCGCGGGCCGAGCAATGGGAGAGGTCGACGGCGCGCAAAAATTCCTTTTCACCACTATATAGCAGGGTGCACGGAGTATTTTAAATTTTGTAACGTGTTTTGGCTTCTCGTGTTTAGCGCAACAAATGACAAAGCCCGCTCCCTAGAAGTTGCTGCTATTTTCCAAGCCCAAATAAGCCAATAAGGAAGTTACAAAACCTAAACAATATAGACAACTTTAAAATCTCTAACTCTACTACAGACACCCGCCTTCGTATTTTGTGGTCGCGCCTATCGGTATAGTGATAAACAACCAATACCCTCCCATCATGATCCGTCATTGAAAACCAGGGGGAAATGGGATTGGGATGGGCCAGAAAATGTGGAGAGAGAGAGAGAGAGAGAGAGAGGGAGAAATTGTATAGCGAATTGGTCCGGAAAAGGGCGAAAAATATTGGCAATTGGCCAGCCGGCTGGATACTGATGATGGTTGTTCGGTGGGCTTTGAATTTGTTATCCGTAGACTATTTTTACACAAATTTGTAAAGAGTAGTAGACAAAAATGTACTAAATTTTCGCCCGAAAAGCCGGTAATCAAGTGGGTGTTTCCGGTTTCAGTTTTTGTGGTCAAATCGACGGCCAAGAACGTTTAGACAAGAAAATGCAAGAAATAGAAAATTCAATCCTGATTAAGCCGAGTTTTAGCTGTCTAAAAAACACATAAACCCATAAATCTTATTTAAAGCTGCATTTTGCAAAAGCGATGCGCGTAAACGCAGAGAACCCTCAAAAAGGCAGTGAATTGGGCGCCGAAAAGGCACGGAACACCGGGGCTGGAAGCCATGGCAAAACCAGACCCAGACCCGCCCCGCTCGCCGGCCGACCCGGAAAAACAACCGAAATTTGCATGGAATTTGGGCTGTAAAAAACAGGCGGTCACTTGATGGAGGATCAAAAGAACGGATTCGACCAAGGACGTCGTTAAACCTAGAAAACAGCGAGCAAAATTAGCAAAAACCACGATACACTAAAAATTCACAAACTTCTATATCCAATTCTTCCCCGCTAACAAAATAATGCACCCTTTCGTTATAATGAAACGCCACATATCTCTACGCATGGAATTCCTGCAATAGTATTTTACCCCGAGGATGATTCACCCCGAAAAGATGAACGAAAATTTTGAATTTTTGAACGGCCTACTTTTGCACAAAATAAAGCAGGCCTTTAAAGGGATACCCAAGGTTTTGGAGGCAAATATATAGTTATGGATTCCGGGCGGTACAAATGACGCGCGAATTTTGTGCGGCAGTGGGGCGCCATTGCAGCCCAGAATTTGGACACCTTTCCCTCTTATGGCGTCCCCATCCCACGCAATGGCTTGCCACTATGGACTAATGGATAGCATCCAGGCCTACAAACCGGGGTCCCGGGTTCGACCCCTGCCCGCGGCATGGTTTTTGCTTTTGAGCCCCGAAAAGGTTGGGCATCCCTTTCAGCGAGTTTGTAAACGCATGAAATAAGTTAAAAATATAAAAGAATTCAATTTAACTCATAACATTAAATTCGAAAAGTGCAACTACGGGCCGTACTTTGTACAGTTCGTAGTGTCGAGGATGCCGGGCACAGGGCGGGTGTGATTTTGGGGGCTGCTGAAATGGAAGGCAGGCAGTCAGTGTAGGTGGTGGTGGTGGTGGGATGTGGCTAGAGGGGTGACGGCGGAGGAATTGTTTGCTTGTGAGTGTGTGTGGGCCGAGTGATCGAAGCCTTTCCAAACAGCCACCCAGCACCCTGCATAGATGTTAGAACACAATTCTCTAAAAACCATTGCTTGCTAACTTTTCCAGCGTCGGGAAGAGCGCTTATACCACCACGCCAAAACCCAGCTGCAAAAAAGGTGCTTTCGCATTATCGGGGGGTTCTTCTTTCCCCTTAGGAACCAATTTCTCTAATATTGATCGAAAGTTTTTTAAAACTGTTTTTGCAATGACTAAACGTAAAACTTCGCCACGTTTTACTTTCAAAACTATGCAAAAAACATGGATTCTTCGAGCAAAAAAGTGCATTTTCGACAAAAAATTAAAATTGATAAATTTTTCTTAGAGCCGAAATTTGAAAAAGAAAAACAAAACATTAGGGTCTAAATCGGAAAAATCCAACGCTACATTATTTGCATCCCGGGATGCGTAACTAGGGTGATCGCAGGGATTCGCCGACGCGCCTCCTAATTGTCCGTTGCAACTCTGGCGCGTCTAGACGCAAATACGGCTTCGTATACACCGAAAATGGAATTCTGAAGGGCAAAGTAAGACCTATTAGAGGAAAACGGTATTGTAAGAATTCAGATCAAAAGCTAAAGGACCAAGGTTGCAAGTACTGGCAGCACATGTGCTTGTTAAAATATCTAAAAACTTTGGAGCTTCGGGCTAGCCCTATTTGTACGCTAGGGTACGAAATTCACGCGGTAAACTACAGACGTTAGATATACTGCGTAGCTCCACCTCGCGCCAAAAACGTATTCTACTTCGCACGCGTACTATGACCGCCAAATCCGCATGATAAGGGGCATTCGGCGACCGGGCACGCGGCTGATAGTCGATTGCACGGCTTCGGCAAAAACACGGGTGCCGAAAATTCGAAAGCCGAAATTGAAGTGGACAGTGGAGGGGCGAAAAGATGAAAAAAACGAGGGAAAGGTGGAAAATTGACAAAAGGTTTCCCTCGATTGGTGAATCACCCAGTGTCTAGAGATAATTGGGAGGGGAAGTTAGCTGATAGTATTCAACGTTTCTAATCTGCATAATAATTTTATAACAGCTAGTCCAGAAGCTATTTTAAAAAGTCGATAAATGCTCCGGAGTCGTCTAGCAAAACGAGAAACGTTAAGGAAGTTCTAGAAAAAGTTTAAGGAAATCCAGTTTCCTTCAGAACTTATCGTGCGAGTTGGTCAGCACCTGATTTGCGCTATCGCCACAACGTGTCTGATAAGAAAACTCAACTGATAAGACTGTTACGATAAAAGTTCAATCCATCATGGCAGAAACGACACAAAAGCCAGAATCAGTAAGCTACACGATCTACAATTTAGTTTTCGAGGCCAGACCTCAAAAAGTACAGTGCAGCCAGGAGAAGTCCGAACCGGGTCAAGACCGAATTTTCGCTAATTAGCAAAAGGAGCACGGGGCGCCGGCTATCCATCAGAGCACTCCCGCGGGCTGCTTCGATACCATTCAGTGTGATTCTCGGTCAAAAATTGGACGGGTTCTCGAGTCTTTGGCCGATCAGCGCTAATATAACGAGGAAAGAAAAAGAAGCAGTCAGATAATCGGCTACAGAAAATCGTCGAGCGTAACGCTGACATTTTTTGGATCAGATGACATGCGCTCAGAACCCGGATTATAGATTTTGGTCTCAGTTTGTCGGAGCGCAAACGGGGCGGTATTTCTTTATAGTTTTTGCTCGTATCATTGAAAGAAGCTGAAACTTTCCACGGAATTAGTAACGAACAGTTCGCCTGCAACTTGATTAAAGATCTCAATAAATTCAGCCAGCCAAAAATTTTTCTGATGCGCCAGACTAAAACCTCAAAATTCGATTTTCTATAAGAAAGACCCAAAAACGGAGTACAAAAGCCACAGACCGCTGACGAGCGGCTGTCAATGGGTGAGGAGCGGGGGAAGGAGGGGAGGAAGAGGAGGGCAGATTGGAGGTGGTGCTCGTGGACAGGGTTGCCGGTTCAGAAGAGGAAGGGTGGGTGTTAGAGGGACCACGGAAACCCGTTCCGAATCAGCAGCCATTTCTCGAGCCCCCTCGCTACCACACGCACACACACGCTAGCCACCAAATGCACCGAATTCCAAGTTGAGCCCGGGCGACCGGTTGACCTTTTGGGGGAAAATCGACTGACCATTTGTGGAAAAAAGTTTTTGACCAATTACCCTCAATTCAAAACAGGAAAAAAGTTAAAGGCACAATCTCCAACCTTCTTGCCGTCATCGCCGAGTCCACGTCGCCTTTTTGAAGCTCCAGCCTTCGCCTTGGCGAGCGCCCTTTGCAGCCGCACCACTTGCCCACCTATTTGTCGTTGCTCAGAGCACAACGAGGTGACTATGTAGTTTTCTGTCTGTCTTTCAACAATTCCCTGTAAAAATTTTGCGATAAGGTTGGTACGTCTTTATTATCCGTTGTGGATGCTATAGGAGAAGAAAGGAAGCACCTAGCCGCTTTCAAAGGAAAGATAATGTTAGAATTGCGCTAGTTCGTATCAAGGTAGTAGGTAGTAAAGAATAGACAAGATAAGCCAATGAGGAAGGGGGGAACAGGAATCTCGCTTGGGGGAAGGATAGGGTAAGTAAGTCTGGCTGGGAAACCGTCGATCAGAAGAACCCGTATGAGAGGAGAATACATCGGTGGAAAGCGTGTTGAACTGAATGATAGGAGCATGAGAATAGAATTCTTAAATGTGTATAAGGAGGACGAAAAGCTAAAACCCTTTTCTGGCGCATTAAAAGAATCACCGGCGAATGGCTGACACACTCGTAGGAAGAAATATTTCGAAAGAATCGAAAAACGGTAATAAGGCAAGTATATTTGGACTATCACAGGAACGTGAGATTTGGTGGAAAGGGGGAGGGTGGGGGAGCATCATCTGCGAATCGTGAAAATCAGCATGCCAGCGGCTCGACCAGGGACGTGCTGACAGATTCTAGGCAATGCGCGTTGTCGAGGGCGGCAGCTTCGAGCTCGGGCAGCATGGCGGTCAGATCGCTAAAAATTTCAAGATTACAAACTAAACATGTCCATTGTAAACAAAAAAATCGAATGCCGATTTTTGCCAGCAAATTTATAAACTCTCACTTGTCCCGCTCGTCCATATCGCTGTGCGTCATCGAAGCCGTCGGCAAGCTGGAGTCGACGGCACTGTCCGTCTCTCCATGCTCTTTACGCTTGCGACGTCGCCGTCGCTTCGCCGATGTTGTCGGGCCCGAGCCGGCCGTTGTCGACGAGTTGGATGCTAAACAGTTTTGTATTTGAAAAGCAAGCTCTCTCACCTGGCGGCGGGGTCTTTCTAAGGGCCTCAACTTGCAACTCTTGCATCTTGAGCTCGACTATCCGATTGACGTCATCCAGGGTCAGTTGCACTTTCGGAGCCGCTTGGGACCGGAAGCACCACTAAAATATAATTTTCATAGCAAATTAATAATAGCACTCACAATATCCTATGAACAAATTAGAAATTTTTATGGAAAAGCTAGTTTGCAAAAAAAGTTTTTTAATTTTAAAGTGATTTTACCTGAATCGCTGCCACGATGAAAACGGTCAGCACCTGGACGCCCACGACAACATAGACGACTTGTTCTGTCTAAAAAACGTGATAAAAACAGGGAGGACATAATCTTCATTAAAATAAAAAAATAGTGTCTGTGTGTGTGTGTGTGTGTGCCACTGCATCCACTCCTATCTTGTTCCAGGCGATCTCTATGGGGAAGAAGTTAGGATTGGGTACGATACGTCGTTATCTGCGTAGGTCTAGGGATGACTGCCCACATATCAGATTTATAAACCAGCCATTTTCGATATTAATTTAGTTTTGTAAGTATCCTTCGCTAGGAAAATTAGCATTGACCGGGAGTAGAGTCGCCTATATAAAGGGCACGCGAACCATTTTCCTTTTTGTCATCTGAATTCAGCGCAATTATGCAAGCGTAGAACAGCATGCGGTCAGGCGGGCCAGGGTTGAAGTCGCGAGCGGCTTTTCAACCCTGGTCTCATTAGAATTTCAAAAACACACCGTCCACACCCCATCACGGCTTCCGATATCGTAATATTGGCCATGGAGCATCACATCATCGTCATCCGCTTCCTCCGAGTCGCAATGGTCTTCAGCTTCTTCCTTGTACCCGCGATAGGCTAGCCTAAAAAAGCTTTTTTCAGAAAATGTTGGCAACCAAACCTTAATTGCAAATGGGCGCTCTCCTGGCGCACAGTCTTCAGGAATTTCGCCAGCTCATCTACCTCGCGGCGCATCGTCTCAAGTTGAACGTTCAGTGTTTTGTTGATGTGCGTGGTGGCGTTGATCACGGCCTCATCGGCGATCCGCTTTGCCTAAATCATCAGATTACTAGAAAATCACGGGAATTCCTACCCGAACAATGTTCTTCTCCTGGGCTTCTGACTGCGCCACGTACTGGCGGCTGAGTTCGGAGAGGTATTCGGATGAGAGTGACATGTTCAACTCCAATGCGGCGATGCGCTTGTTCAACTTGATGAAGACGGATTCCTAAAAAAATTAAAAAATTAGGAATCGTGGTTAAAGAAGGGCTGGCAAGTGCCAAATCCCATCAATTACGAAAGGCTTACTTTGTGCGTCAGCGATGAAGCCGGCAGCGACTCGGGGACGGGCTCCTTGATCGGGGCTGTCGTGACTTGTGCCGTAGTGGTAGAGGCGGTATAGGAAGTAGCCTGTTGATCTCCGGTAGCAGCGACCTGCTCCTTGACCTGCTTGAGCTCGATGGGCTTCGGCGGTGGTGGCGGGCTTTCAGTCGGCTTCTCCGGGATTCCAATTGCCGGTTCCGGAGCTGGTGGCGCTTCGCTGGCCTGCTCGACGGCTTTGATCGGCTCCTGCGAAGCCGGCGTCACCTCCACGGAAATGGCCGGCGTCTGCTCGAACTGAGGCGGAGCTGCGGTGCCATAGGAGGAAGAAGCGCTGCAGGAAAGAGAACCGCAGCCGCCGATAGCGTCGTCGCGTCCCGAGCGTATCCAGGAACTTGCGGTTGGGCACGGCGGCCTTGGGAACCGGGCTGGAAATGTCATTGGTACATTGGTTTCCAGATAACGATCACGTCCCTGATGAAATCAAAATATCTAGCTACTCACCGAGTTTTGATGATCAAGCCAGCAATCTCGCAAAAACGCTTCGAATTCGCCGACAAAGTTCGATTCTTCTGGACGGGGCAAACATTGCAGATGAAGTACCAGCCCGGTGAGTTGAATTTACTAAAAAAATATTATTTTTTTGAAAGGAAAAGCTCTTACATCTCCTTCTTTGTGCCGAACGACCAGACGTTGACAATCTTCCTTAGCAGGTTTCTTGGCGTCAGCTGCGACTCGTTGCTTGGGTCGGCCAATGAAGACTTCTTCGGAAGTTCAATGGTGTTGTCATCGAGCTTCGGCTTGACCATTTCCGGCGTCGGTGGGATCTGGGCGGGAGGTTGGGGTGGCTTCTGAAAGGGGAGGTTTCAATTAAAACAAAAATTTATCAACCAAAATGCGAAATCAAGCAAGGAGACGTCGAATCCAAAAACTAATTTACCTGCGTGATCTCCTTCTGGTCTTCCACCACGGCCGGCGGGACTGGTTGTGTAGCAGTGGCCGTGGCAGCGCTGCCGATGCGCCCTGCAGCGATCTCAGCTTCGGCTTCATACTCCTCCACAATCGACATCCCGAGGACGCGCAGCATTGTCAGGGTGCAGTAGTGTTCCTTGCCGTAGTGTGATAGAAGTTCGACCTAAAAGCGCTTATAAAAATCACCACAACAAAAGAACCTTTAGAAACTTTGCATAAAGCCCCATCTTGGTGACGCGGAACGTTTGAAGAAATCGCGAATCTTGCGCTTCGATCTAGAAAAACTGTCATAGCGTGATTTTTAAAACTATCTTTCAAACCAAGGTCAAAGTTTTCAAAAACTACCTCCAACACCGTCGACCACTCGTTTGCCGGGAACTTTTCAGCGGCCGATACGCGGATGGCCTTCGGGCCCGACGAGAACAGCTCATAGTTGCCGAGCTCGATCGTATGAGGCTAGAAATCTATTTGTATTGACGAACCTATTATTTTTTACCTGTATGGTCTCGCACAGCTCGATGACGATGTATTTCTCGCTGATGTCGCACGGGCTGCGCATGTATTCGTCTTTCTCCTAAAGGTACTAAATACAATTTCTAAAAAAAACAGCATACCTTATCATTGAGCAACGCTTTCGTGTTCTCCGCGCCGGCATTGGCCGTTATTATCTTGGCACCACATTCGCGGGAAGCATAGTTGCGCGTGGCCGCCGAGCCTTCGTTTTTGACATGCGGCTGCGGGGCCCCGTTGACGACGGGTTGGACGCTGGCAAGCTGCTCGTTGCGCTTCAGTTCCTGCTTCAGTTTCTCTTTCGTCCACTCGTCAAATGTGGCAATCTGGGGCTTCGGCTCGTCGGAAGGCGGAGGTTTTGCCTAAATTTTTTATGAAACCAAAGAGATGGATAAAACGTTATTTATGGATTTTCTCAGAAAACCAACATGTCCATGGCCTTCTTCCACTCGCTTGTCTTGTGAATTTGCATCGCTGGCCGGGTGCGCAACTTGTTCCGTGTTGTCAAGCAGCGCCTTCGGGCTGCCGTTGGTGGTCGGGTTAATGGCATGATTGGTGAGCGGGTCGAGCGGGCAAACGGTTGGCGGGGGCCTGGAAAGTACGTGTAAAAAATGTCCGGGAAAAAGCCTTCAGGCTTTTATTTGTTGTCTCTGCCCCAGAGGGCGGCCATTTGGAGGCCAACCCAAAAGTACGGTCCCGCGTACCCAAGCGGCTTCCTTGTTTTTAGTTCTCACCCCGAGTTTCTGCCAGTTTTCGCGATCCCATTGCTAGTTTCGGGATCAATGGGCGTGTGTGCCCCCGTTTTATGTTCATTTGCCGGGACAAGAACGGGACCGCGACAGGGGGCAGCTGCCATCCGACACCGCTAGCCAAGGTCGGGCAAAAAGGGGATAACCCCTGGTTGATTGCAGCAACAAAAACAGCCAGCCTCGAGAAGCCACTCGGAGCCCGCTAAAATTTTAGAAACATCCCAATTTTGGAGCCCCTTGCCACCGGGACCCAGACCTCTATTTTCCCGGAGGATCATATGATTGAGGGCCATTATTTGCCCAGTTCCGTGCCAGCGAAATATCCCGGCAAAAAGGTCCGATATTTGCCGTGGCTGGCCGGAAATTCGCCACGCTCGGTGATTACGGGGGCTTGTGTAAAAAAATGAGCCCAATGAACTCCCGAGATCCGGATACAGGTAAAAAAAACTTTAAAACATAGTTTATTATTCGAAAAGCCCCGCAGTTTTCTAACCATTTTGGGCCCCCAGATTCAAAATCTATAATAGACCCGCCGGTCATTCAGATGATTGGCACCAGCCCAGGCCGGAAGGGGCGATTAGACTGATAACCCTGGGGTCGGCTCGGAAGTCATGGGTTTATTTACAGACGCCCTATCGTGTGACCGCGGTGGCTGGCGTCAAACGTGACGGGAAAAATGGTGGCCGAGCCGAACTTTGCAAAAAGGAGCCCTCATCGATCAGGGAAACAAAAAGTTCACAGGGGGATTTCCAGCCCAGCACCTTACCCTTCACCTTTCCCAGAAAAGGCTTTCGATCAAAGAAACACACCTATCCCCCGCCAGCAGGGCTAGCAAATTTAGGAAGGCCAACAGTAAGTGGCATAATTTTGAGACGGGCCCATCCATTCAGTCATCCGCGGAATGAGGAGCAATTTTGGGGAGGAGGGATGTTGGAAGCCACTGGACAGAAGCCAGAAGACTTTTGAAGCAGCTTTTTGGCTGGAATTGAGCGTAAGGATCGAAATACAGTTTTGGAAGGACTGGATAGAAAATATCTAATTTTAGGAATGGATGATGTCGTAAAAAAAATAGTTGATCTAGATAACAATAACAGAGCGGGCCACGTGGACGTGGTGGTGCGAATATTTTTCGCGTGGAAAGTCGCGGGAGGGGGTGCCGATGTGAGGTGGGCAGAGGCGGAGCACGAGACGGCTGGAGAAAGCGGTTCCTCCAGCCAGGCCCCCACACTCGCACAGATAGAAAGACACCAACAGGGAAATGGCAAACCGAGCCAGCGGGCTGCCTCCCGCCGTGAAATTATTATTCATGAGCATTTTGGGAGCATTATTGCGTTTTGCGATTGTAGGCGGAGGCGCGGCTGGTTCGAACAAAATGGTTTCGGTAAAACAAGGTTTGAAATGCTGCAAAAAAACCCCCGCTTCATTTAGAGGAGACTAGAAGGGGGTTACACTAGCGCCAAACTGACAGTACGCTCGCAATATTGCCAAAAAGACCGTCAAAAGCTAGCGTCTCCCTGCTACAAGAATGTTGTGGTGAATAATTCACGGCGTCTAGACCCTACTCGTCATGCCTTTTCCAAAAATTTCTAGAACATGGAAAGTACACCTCTCCCGAAAAATCGAAGGCTGAGACAGGGCTTTTTAGAACGGCAAGGCTCGACTTTTCCCCCAAACCTAACGAATCTCATCAGCTTCCCCGAGCCTTAGAGCTCCCAACCAGTTTCTGGTCTGCAGCCATTTTTGTATTGGTTGCCGAGGGCTGGGTTCAGGATCCGGTTGGAGCGTCCAAGCACCACCAAAAGGCTTATCCATCTCGGATCTCCTCCACCAATGCATTTGTCCATTCTTTCAGAAGGCGTTGAAAATAATCCGCAAAAAGGGTAATTTAGACGAATAACCAGTAGCTCCCTCAAGCCACAATTATAAAAAGCTTTTAAAACTAAACAAGGACCTATTCCTAATCATATTTTCCTAACCGGATTCAGGGATTTTACAGGGGTTCTGTGACGCTGCATTCGATAAAAATAGCCTCCTAATCCACGTCCCTTTGTCAAAATCCAATACATTCGACAATATTGCTGATGTGGCGCTCGTTTTATTGCCTATCCAATGCTTGTATTCCTGCCGCATCAAAAATGCAAAATCTAACCATAATCATCCCGTCTGTCCCCCAATCCGATTCAAAAAAACCGCAACCGGTTCCACTCGCGTGGTCAACGTTTGACTAATTGCATCATGTGGAAGTGAAGTGACATATATAAAAGCACACGAAACTTCCAGAAAACGGACCTAGTAACGATGTCGATGAAACGTCCCTGTGCATTGGTTGTTGCGACACCGGCGCAATAAAGTAGCAGAAAAATCAGTCTAAAAAAAGAGCTATGCAAGGCTTGACAATTCGCTTTATCTGTATAATTCCCTCATTGCAAATTATCATAATCGAGCTGGGCAACTGCTGTGCATCGCCAGGCCGAGCCCTGAAAAAAATCTAAAATTATGTGTCATCAGAAAAGAGGGCAAATGAAGCTGAAATAACATTAGTCAAGGGATCCTAGAGCTAAGCGAGCCCCTAGAAAAGTTGAGGGATCTAGAAGAGGAAAAGCACTATAGCCCGTACAAAAAAAAAGGAAAACCCAGCACTGTATTCGGATAAATCTAAATCGGTAGAAGCTAGACAATGGGGCATGTATATGCGGGTCAATAGAAGGCAGCGCAGGTAGGAAAGGACACGAAAACAGATGAATTCTATTTGTTTAGACGGTAGGATGGGGGCGGGTTCGGGTGATTGCGGCATAAATAAGCCACGTCATCGTAGAAAATCGCTGATAGAACTAGAAATTAATTACCACACGACCTCGCGGTGGTTTCAGAAGAGACTCAATATCCAAAGTAATATAAGATCGGGATGTTTCACCTGCCACTCATGAATTTCTTTAGACGTAAAAGGTCGGTGATGTCCGAGAAATCGTAGCGCCCTTATCAAGGTGGGAATGTGCAGCGGATGAACATGGGATAGCGCACGCGGTAAATTCTAGAATCGATTCTAGATGGTATCTGCGTCATCACTGTTCAAACCAAAAAGCATCGGCTTTCAAAGCCTTTTCAAAAAATTACTCTTACGCTGTAGTCTCACAAAACGTAAAAATTTTAATTAAATGATAAGGACAAAAGATAGTTCCCGTACAAATGCTAGGTTAAAGGTGACATTTGGCTGGATTCTCGGCTTCAAAGAGTAAAAAGCGTGGGTTTTAGCTCGTAAATCTAAAATCTCAATAGCCACAAATGCAACGTGGTCGCGGGGGCGCGTTCGTCATTATTATGCCTTGTCGAAGCCGGGGAACGGTGTTCGAATTCCGATCCGTTGCCGGCAGGGGCAGAGGGCATGGCGCTCAAGCTCAGCCGGGAGAGACAGCTTACAAAACGGCGAGAAAAAGAGACACCGGCACGCGCCAGATCGATCCCATCTAGCCTCGCTACGCGGCAATACAAGCTCCATGCGCACTGCGTGCTCTCTAGCGAATCGTGGACTTTTTGCAGCGCAACTCGGCAAGTTTGACCAAATTGCACGGGCCGGTTTTTATCCCTCTGGGTCCGCGAGTACGGAGCGCGCTTTAGCAAACTTCCAGTACTTTCCTGCCTATTTACCAACAAGGGTAATGTGTATTGTGACGGAACTTTGATTTTGTTTCGTGATTTACAACTACTTGTTTGTCAGCAATCGCGAGAAAAGATGGCTTGCTGGAAGAATCCTTTTTCAGTAGTTTCATAGATTATAGACTTCAAGGCTCATCAATTTAGGATCAAAATCATGCTAATGGTAAACACAATACTTAACGGAGGTTTCTCCGGTGGGTAAGACAGTGGTCTAAATTGTCTTACAAATTGTTTCAATGAAAACGGGTCCTTTAGCTTCTTTTTCGAGCCATATGCTGCATCGCATTCACCGCACCGGTGTTTCTTCTAGTCGCTCGCTTCCATCGCTCGGATTTTCTTTAAAGGAACGAGAGATTCCATGGGCTGACAATTTGTGCTTTCAACAGCTGCCACTGTATGGAGTCGTGTATGGCAATCCCGGCACATCGCAGGAGAGAATAATTCTAGCTTTATGTTCTAGCTGAACAGTTTTTTGGTTTCACAACGACTAGGCGTTTTACAAAATCTAGTATTGGAAACCAAGGTCAGGAGGAACTTATAGCCGAAACTACGAAATGAAATTCTTCAGCAAACTATCTTTCTTCTCGAAATTGCTGACAAACATGTAAAGTTGTAAATTACGAAAACAAAATGAAAAGTTCCGTTGCAATACACATTACACTTGTTGGTAACTAGGCAGGAAAGTACTGGAAGTTTGCTAAAGCGCGCTCCGTACTCGCGGGCTCAGAGGGATAAAAACCGGCCCGTCCAAATTGCAAGAAATTTCAGAAGTTTTTAGCTAAAACGAGTCTTTTTTTCACGATTGTCTTTCTTTTAAAACCTTCCATTTGAGACCATTCAACCCTCCGTACCTTCTTTCCCGACCACCTCAGGCAAATGCTCGATTTCAAAACTAATAAAAATTTTCCCTTTTCAGGACGATGATCACAGCTCCATCAACCTCCCTGCTTCGAATAGGAGCAGCAGGCCAGCTGCTGAATGTCCGCGGGATGGGCAGAAGGCAGCCGAAACAAGGAAAACCGCCGATTTTGCCGCCCAGCAAGAAGGTAGCATTTTGAAATGCCAATATTCGGACTCGCATTGCGCTTTCTGAATTCGTAAAACCTCATTTCTTAAGGTACTCTACCACGTGGTGAATCCAGAGTGGGAGAAGCCGGAACACGTCAAGGAGCTACTGTGGCGACGGTTTGCGTACAACAACGGAGTCAATTCGCTGCGAATCTTGTTCAAGCAAGAGGCTTCATCGAAGATTTCCACCGGCCAAGGTCTTGCCTCTATGCGTGAAGAAGAAGAGAAAGAATTCAACATTCTCATCGCCGCTAATGAGGAACGGAATTTGAAGAAATCTAAAGACCGGGAAATTCGAAGCCTGGAAAAATGGAACACCACGCGCCAGGAGATGATGGACGAGATCTCATCGACGCTCACCGAACAAGAGAAGCAGGCTAAATGGGCTAATAGAGCGAGTCCGGGAGGCGATTCGGGACAGCAAGGACTACGTAAATAAAGAGAACTTGGAAGAAAAAATCAAGGCGGCACTTGAGTCCCCGAAGATCTACGACTTTGCTATTGATAAAACAGGCGCGAAGTTGGAAAATCCTGCTCCGGTCAAGTATCAAGAAGGCACGCCAACGATTCAGAAGGGCCGATTGTACGACAGAAGCCTCGGGCAAGAAGCCATATAGATATTTATTTCGGGTCTGTCCATTTTTGGAATGTTTTTTGTTCTCGGCCTTTCTCCTTTTTCTTGATGTGGGAAATCCATCGCCTAAATAACGTCACTTTTTTCTCGTTATCCGTTATCCCGGATTTTCACCGTTTTGCCGAATGTTCTGTTCACCATGGCTCAATTATGCGTTGTTTGTTTCTTTGTTATTCCCGTTACACGCGTTCTCCCGTTCATCTCAGTCTTCTATTTAGCGCCTAGAATAGTGATAGAAAAATAAAAATTTCAGGCGGCGTATGGTGAAGCAGATCAACATCAAGTACCGGCCACTCGACTACGTATGGCTAAGTTGATCGCGCCATCCTCACCTGTGCCAACTTTTTCGCGAAGCTCGCTGGGAAGTCGACTTTTCAATTTTTGTGAGTCTGTGTTTAGAGGTGCCAATCGTAAATTTGATTGACACTGGTCTGATCAACGCTGTCTCTCTGCGACGACTACGAGAATGTACTGAAGGGCAAAAGATGGTGACAAGACCAGAGAAGAGCTAGAAAGGAGCTTCCATCTTGAGGTGAGAGCGCTTTTAGTTATCTTTGATCGATTCTAGGATGATTCTTCAAAATACGTGTTCCAATACTCTGGACAACAGCCGATGAGAAGTATGAAGCCGTTTTAGCAGAGGTATTTTTGGTGTTGAGGGTCTTACACGTATTTTTGCCTAGATCGAGCGCCTCGCATCCATGAAAGTTGAGCGCGACGACCCAGAAATGAAAGCAGACTGAACGAGCTCTGGAAATTGCCGGCTGAGTACACGTTCGACCCTCCGGGTGACTGGACACTGATTGGATTTCAGGTAATTTTCATCACGTTATCGATACAGGCAAAATGAAATGGAAGTATTCGCCAGATTTGAAGTTATAGATTGTGATAGAGATGAGGTTATAACAGATTGTTTTTGAGCGATCCAACGACCCCTCCACTGATTTTCGCTCGACCGGCAGCCTCGGCCTCGCCCAGATGCTCTTCTTCGTCAAGTATCATCGCATCGTATTGGACCACGAGGTCGCCTGGCCCGAAGCCCTGCCATTTGCACTGACTTCAATACACATCACAGCTTTTCTGATGGCTTTGATGAAGGTTCGTTTGCTCTTAATTGACTATCAGCTATAATAAAAAAGTTGTGGTGTCTGTCCGTCTGTCCGTCTGGCCGGTCCCGAATTCAACTCGAAGGGGAAAGGAGCTAGAGCTTAGGTCTCTTCGGATCCGGATAGAGCGCCCTCAGAAACCCCCAAACGGATAAAAAAATTACAAAGGTTTTAGTTTAAATTATTAAAATTAACTTTGAAAGTCTTTTCCTTAGTAAAAGGGGTGGGGGCCCCTCTCCCGGGAGGCCACGCCCTTTCCTTCGCCCTTCCCAGGCCCCTTCCCGCGCTCAAATAGCTTTTTAAGTCCTTTAATACTTTTAATGCTTTTTAATTATGTTAATTTATTATTTAAATCATTTAAAGTATCGGAATGGAATCAAAGTAGTTTTTTAAGGGGATTTCGGTTATGGGGGGTATCTGAAGCCATCAGGAAGGTATCGAAGTAGTTTTTTAAGGGAATTTCGGCTCGGAGGGGTATCTGAAGCCATCGGGAAGGTAGCTATGTTTTTGTGTGGGGGGTTTGGCTAGGAGGAGTTATCTGAAGCCATCAGTGTAGGTGTATTGCTGATGAAGGCATCAGCGTAAGGTAGGGATGAAAGTGGTGGTGTAGAATATGGAGGGTAGCTCAGTCCAGCCGATTACAGTCGCGAAGCGGCTGTAATCGGCTGGTTTTCAATACTGTTTTTTAGGAACAAGTTCTCCGCGATCACTTCTATGCTGGCAACGAGCTTCCATCGCTAGAGGGATTTAACAAGATTCACTGTAAGACCCATTTTTCTCAAATAGCTAAAAATTTTTTCAGGCCGATTACTTTGGCTGATGTCCGCTTTACTGGGGCAAACAGGGCGCCGAATCAATCATGCAGTTTGCAGCACCATTTCAAGGTAGTTGAACGATCATTTTCAGACAATTATTTGCTTTGCAGGCCTTCCAGAACGGCGTCGTTCGCCTGCTGCATTTCCGTCAAAAAAGCCTACACGAGATTACCGTTGAAGAAATTGTTTCCGCGTAAACCCCCTGGAATTTTCCGTTTAAAATCTAAAAACGATTATCACCTTAACCTTGCTTTGTCACTTTACAGCTACTGTGTGCTGTGTATATAACTTCGCCTCTTACAGATTACTGACTTGCTTTCTTCATCACGATCAGTCGATTCAGAACGTTCAGCCATTCTTTCGCCCCCGGTTTGATGTGCAAAACATTAATTCTGCATTACTTGTGATTCCTCCCGGTTCAGCATGTATGTGATTGGGGCTCCTGTGATAGTCTTTTCAATACAGTATTTGCAGCAAATTGCGAAGTACAACCATGTTGTCACACCACTATCTTCTAAAGAAAGCTGTCAATTTCCGGTGATCGAACGATTCCCACCGACTCCTCGAAATCTTCTCGGTCCCCGACCAACAAACGGCGATCAAAATCGGCTCGTCGCAAGATTAGGGCAAGGCCGGGGCTGTGTGTCCTTAGCCGGTTTCGACCTCCGTAACACCTTGCGATGGCTCATTCGCGGGAGAACGACGCTGTCGGCGTGCCGGTCCCTCGGGGTTGATGAGCGTGCGAAGGAGGTTTTGAAATGTTTGTTGTTTTAGGCAGACTCACAGGGCAGGTTTGTGAATTCCGATCAAGACTAGAATGCCGTGTGCGTTAAATTTAAGCTGAACGAAGAAGTTTGCTTTGCAAGTAATCTAAAGAGTTTCTAAAACACTTGAGCGTAGGGGTTTTTGATTGTAAGCAGCTATCTTACCCTTTTCCGCTGCTAAAGTCCTTTTTATTGAAAGCTCAGCCCCTTGGCCAAAAATCCGGCAAGCTGATGCTCACTGGTCGCGTGTCTGTCCGTCTGTTTGCAAGTCTGGTCGGTGAGCACCAAGGCTGGCACCATCGTCCCCGGATCGGCGAACGGTTGAAGGTGAAAGGCGCGATTTCAGATCTCACTCGAATCCTAGACTGACACTCCAAGCCTAGCTTATTCACCCCAAACAAGAACACACGGTCGCAGCCGATCTGAATAGCCACCCTCGCAAAAGTAATTCGGTCAAAAGGGCAATTCCGGGGTTTGGTGGTCACCTGAAGATTTTTGAATCTTTCGTCGAAGAAGGATTGGTGGCCTTCAGTAATTGGTGTTTGGGAAGCATGCGTTCAAAGCTGTTCCGGCAGGTGAGTTAAAAACCACCGTACTTTACTACACATATAGACCAAAGTCGTTACACATGCGTCCTCAATTGGAGTACGCTACGCTACCAAGCTACGCCGTACGGTCGAAGCTTCTGCGCACGTAACAACTTTTCCATTTCCAGAAAAGTTTCTCGAGATAAACTGAACGCCGTAGATAAAGATTCGCCAGATAGACAAGCTTTTGAGGCAGATTTTTGTCAATTTTTGCAGATTTCGGTTCTTCCCGGCAGCTGAATTCAAAACCCACCGTACCTCCGACCCCCAGGTGCGCAAACGGAGCAAGATGTGTGTGGTGGCTGTGGTGCCGGGCTCGTCCCCGCGCGTCCGTTTCGAGGTGAAAGGGCTGGATCCGGTGCTGACACGCTTTCCTCCATCCACCCTCCTCCTGATCGCCGGCGGCTCTCTACGCGAGCTGCTGTGTGCTTGGCGCGCAGCGCACTTTCCCTCGCTTGCCCCCTATTTCGCGTGCCCCCCATCCCTCGGCTTGACCCTGTGCCCCCTATTTCCTGAGCGATGCGAGCGGAAGAGAGATCGAGAAGCGGGGAGACTGGTGGATTGGAAAGGGGGTTGTCCGTTTCAAGGCCATACCCGGAATGTTGGTCAAATCCGCGACCCCTCCCATTCACCCCCTCGGTGCTCTTTACTTCTTCTTCTTCTTCCTTCCTGCAGCCGCTTTCGCTGGTTGAGTTATCGCCCCTGAAAAGCAGGGCCTGGGTTTTACTTTCATAAACGCTTTTCTGGTGGTTTCAAGGGATCGGGCAGGTCGAATCCACCCCTTACCTATCTGTGCATTAGGGAAATATTTTCATGCTTCGAATCCAGCCTTTCGAGGTATTTAGATAATCACCAGTTTTCGAAAGCTTCGTCAATTTTTGAAAACTTTTCGAACAATTTTAAAGGCCCTAAAACCCAAATCTGGCCACTCGCTCCATCCGGGAATTAATGAAAAGTTTATGCCCTCAACTTTTACGTTTCCTAAAATTAACCGGATCACAGAAGATTTCGTTTTTTTTTGAAAAATTCTTTGGGACTGCCTACGGTAGCTGATAGTGCTGAATTTCCTCAGAACTTGAGGTCGTGCTCGAAGGATTTCGTAATTTATAGAAAAAGGCCTAGGCCGGATTGAGTCTCAGTGGATCTAACTGTAAAGGAGCACGTGTGGTCGGTAAATCAAATTTTAAATTTGGGATTTTTTAGATCCGCTTTTCGATGGTTTTCCAAAGGAAAAGAAGCGAAATTTAAGCAGCTAATTCTAAAGCAACGTGTACTTTACAGTAGTCCGGGTTCGCGTTTTACAAGATTTCCCAAAAATCCCTCAAAAGGGGTCTGCAAAGAAACGACACGACACGGAAACTCTCTAAATCGAAGACCCCGGTTTTCGAACGCTACCGTACTCCTCGTTCTCTCTCTTTCTCTCTCGCTCTCTCTCACCCCCTTGTCCGTTTCAAGGCCATACCCGGAATGTTGGTCAAATCCCCCCGTTTGCTGCTCTTCTTCTTCACCCGTACTTTCGCTTGCTGACCCTGAATACACAGATCCGGGGTGAGGAGCAGGACCTTCACCCAGTCTTTCACACCATCCCCCCCAGCTTCCCTCACTAGGCCAGGGACAATTCCATTTACAGGCCGTGTACCTTGCGGGGGGAGGAGCGCTTTTTTGGGCTTGAGGGCACTTCAAAATGCTTTCTCCCTTGAAATTTGTGCTGGTTTTAGCGAATTTTCGTTTTCGGGGTGCGGTAATTCGGCATTTTAGAAAAGGTAGGCTACGGAAAGCTACAAAATACGTGGAATACACTGAGTTAAGGCTTTCGGTGTATAATTCTCGTTTTTTCAGCCATTTTTGGTAGGCTTCTTTTAGAATACTTTTCTTATTTATCAGATTAATTGTTTTAACAGTGGCTAAAATATAGATACGGCCTTACATTATAGATTTTGTAGCCCCATATCCCGGTTTTGAAGGGACTAGAAAGCCACAGAATTAAACTTCTGTATGACTAGGTGTCAACAGCTACGCGACACTCCAAAATGCGTGTTCTAATTAATGTCGTTTCTAGGTTCCTTTGGTTTAACTTTGTACCGCCTTTTTCTAAAAACGTATAGATTAATTAGCTGCCCCGGAATTTGGCGTGCCGCGTACTTGTCGAGACCTAGCCATAGGTAGGGTCGATTGTAACACTTCCCGACCACTTTAATGACACAACTCCCGTTTTTCCAGTTTATCCGCTTAGCCGTTCATAATTTTCGGTGCCAGGGACACGGGATTGACCTTTCCTCTTCTTGATTCCATTGGAGAGTCCGGTTCGGGATTGACCCCTTTTTATGGGTTCGGCTTGAGCTTCGTCGTGTCCCCTCCACCTCCACCTCCTCCGCCACTCCCCATGCACTGAAGCGGGGGGGTTCGTGCTCAGTTTCGTGTTCTCGGTTTTGTTATTCTTATTATTACCGCATTCTCGTTGGTTATCGCTACCTCGTTGCCTGTGTTTCTGTTAGCACAGCGTGCACCAATTGGAGGTAGCTGAAGCCTCTGACCGAAAACCCGTTTATTTTGACACCTGGCTCAAAAATAATGTTCTGAACCCGATCTTTTGCTCCGAAAGTTCCGGTAGCATTCCCTACCGTACCCCGAGCACATAACAGCTTATTTTTGAATCCAATTCCGAGTACCGGGGCTTTTTTGAATGCAACTGCGCAATGTACCGACAGCTGGTAGAGACGGGCATCAGACAGTTTTGTCAGGTGCACCCAATGGAGACATTCGGTCCCCCACTCGTCCCTTGACTTGACTCCGCTGTCTGTAGCCTAAAGGGATCCGGTGAAACCAGGGCATTTCGGTACGCCTGATTTTTCTTACATTTTACACCTGATTTTTCTACATTAACCCTGTTAGAGAAATCAGTATCTCTTTCATTCGCTCAAGTTGTCTCTCGTTCTTTTCCGCTCACGCTGTCACTGGTAACCTACGGTATTTCGCTCTCTCTTAAACCACCTCTCATGATCTCCCTATCTATATTTCTCCCTCTCTCATTCTCTCCCTCCCCCCCCCCTCTCTCTCTCTCTATCTCTCTCTCTATCTCTTGCGCTCTCTACGTGCCTCTTTGTCTCTCTCTGCCATTCTATAATCAACATTTTTCGCGCTTTCTTCATGCACCTGATCTCATTCTAAAATTTTGTTGCTGAACCGCCCCCATAAAATTTAAAATTCTAGCCTACAACGCCGGGCTTGTAGGCTAAATCTTTTGCGTTTTGAGGTTAAAAATTTCTGCTCTCCACGCCATTCCAATTTTCGTGGTCACCTGCTCTCTGGCGAAGGTCGTCTGCGCAATTCCAGAGCTGGCCTCACCTGGCCCAGGAGGCTGAATAAGTACTCAAATTTGGACCTGCGGAGTCAGTTTTTGGGTGCTGCTCTTTCCAGGCTTTTCTTTCGCCTTTTAATGGATACTGTATAGTAACTTGGTCTTTGGCTCTTTGCCGGGATACGATTTTTGGACCTTATTGAATACATTTTCTGGCCAAGCTTTTTACCGTGGTTGTTTTCCGAGACCATGACTTTTTTAAACGTAAAAATCTGATTAAAACCCGTAATCTTCGATTTTAGGGGGATGTTTGGGCAAGGCGCATCGAATCAACCGGATGCGCCGGCGCCGACACTTCATCGGCCCGTCCCGATTCAGCCGCTGCGGCCGGATTTGGGGTAAGATTTTGGGGGAAACGAGAGAGCGAGAGCGAGAGTGTGAGAGTGAGTAAGATATGGAAAGAATGCGTCAGAAAAAAAATAACGATCCGGAGAGGTAAACGACGCAAATATCTACGTAAGTTTACTGTCATCATCCGTTACGCAACGAAATGTCGGCAGGACGCGTTTAATTGTCCGTGGAGTAGCAAAACCATAGCCCTGCCTTGTTCGTCCCTTTAATGACGCCTAACGAACGCGTTTCTGTTCCAGCCCAAGTCTCTGTCTCGCTCCCGCTCTCTTTTTTTCATTCTCTCCTGCCCGCTCTTTTCACGTTTTTTCTCCTGTATTGATATTAGTAAAATTGGAGCCCAACGAAAAAAGGAAAATTGCTGAAAATGCGATTGGCTTACCTAAAAACCCTTTTCAGGCTCCACCCCATATCCCCGGCCTCTTCCGGAATCGCCGACCCGTTCGGTCTCTACCGGCTCTACCTGGCCCACCTCCGGCCGTCCACCCTCAGCCACGTCTTCCCGAACCTCAGCTTGGCCTCCCAACTACAGAATCAGCTTGCCCAGCAACAAGCCGCCACTTCTTCGCCCTCAACGACGGCGGCAAGTACACCGGTGCCGAGGCTCGACTCCGAGAAATTCTCGTGGATCGCTCAATATCAGCATTCGAGCACCGACACGAGTCCGGTAAGTCTGTGTGCCTAGAATTTGTTTAAGGCTAGAACCTGATCAAAGAAAAGTTTTTAGGCCCTATCAACCCTCTCCTCCCCCGCCGAACCGTCGTTGTTCTCTGAACGTGCCCAAAGCGACGCCGTAGAATTGGCAGACCCTGTGGAAGATGATGAAACCACGTCCTGTGGTATCTGCGGTGATCGCTCATCCGGCCTCCACTACGGTATCTACACCTGCGAGGGGTCAGTTTTTGTAGTTGTTTGATTTTTGGCCCGTTTCTTCTTTATCATGTTTTCCCTCCTTCTAATTACCCACCCAAAAGACAGCTGCCATTTTCTGGACCCCCCGTTCGCTACATATTTTAACATTGACGTTTTTTGGCGGAGTCGAGCTCATTTTGCATTCTAGGCTACAAGGGGATAGAGCATTGAACTTCAAACTTTTAAAAAAAAGTGTCGTAGAGCTAGCTTGTAACTTGTAGCTTGCAAATTCCGAATGAATCCCTGCCAGCTGGCCCAGATTTGATAGATGACGTTGAAACTCTAATTTCAGGGCATCGCAAAATTGGAAATTCGGAAAAGCTCGTTGCTAGCTGACCTGGAAATTAGTTTTTTTTTTATCCCAACGGATGCTGCCAGTTTGCCGTTTTAAGGTGCAATCTCGATAATTTCTTAGGCTTTGGTATTTCCTGGTATAATAGTTTTTTACAACGTTTTCGTAAAATCGCGAACTTCCTAAAACTTCTCTGCTAGCATGCCTCCCGATGGGGTCCCTCCTTTTCTTTCTCTGACCGGTTCTCTCTCACTCCCTCACTCTCTCTCTAGATTTATCGTACTCTGTCTCTCTACCTCCCTCCCTTTCTCTCTCTCTCTCGCTCTCTCGCCCTCGCTCTCACTCTATCTCTCTTTCTCTGTCTCTCTTGCTCTGTCTACCGCCCGCTCTCGCTCTAGCTCTCGCTCTCTCTTCCTCTCTCGCTCTCTCTCTTTCTCTCTCGCTCTTCCTTTCCCGCTCGCTAGGGCCCGATTCCAAGTTCATTGAAACTGTGTAGTTTTCTGTAATTTTTTGAACCTAAGACCCTAACTACCCAATCCCCCCAAATTGACGACCTGCCGCAAATTTGCGAATTTTCCAAATCGTCCTGTCGGTATGGCCGAGTAGTGCTAGTTGGTGGCCGGGGAGATGACCTCGTGGCTGGCCCATTTTGGGGCAAAATTTTCAGCGGGTGGGAACACCCGGCCTCTCACACACACGCACACCCGAGTACGGAACTGACCTTTCAATGCCACTTGCCCGCGCGCTCGCGGTTGTCGCAAAATTCTCTCTCCCTCTCTCTTTCTGTCTCTCTCTCTCTCTCTCGCCTTTTTAGGTTGCTCTGTCTGCAAATCGCATTTTTTCCAGTAGCCAAGGCCATGGTGTTTCAACGGCGTCTTGTGGCCCATAAAATCGGAATGATTCTTTTTTGGGTTAGAAAGTTTCAATAAAAAAAAGAGAAGAAATGAGAGAAAGAGAGAGAGAGAGTGAGAAGAAAGAGAGAGAGCGAGCGGCAGAGAGAGAGGGGGAGAGGGAAAGAGAGAAAGAGAGAGATAGAGTCGGAGAGACAGAGAGAGATAGAGAAAGAGCGAGAGAGAAGCGAGAAGCGAGATAGATAGCTGGAGAGAGAGAGAGAGAGAGTGAAAGAGAGCGAGAGAGCGAGACCTTACGGCCTGACGCGGAAAATACTTCGAATGTCCTGATTTTTTAACGAGTAAGGTCTCTCGCTCTCTCGCTCTCTTGCTCTCTTGCTTTCTTTACTTCTCTCTTTTTCTATCTCTCTCACTCTCTCTCGCTCTCTCTTGCTCTCTCTTTGGCTTCCAAATATTCATTGTTCCCCCTTTTTTTTCTTCATCTTCCCATGTTGAGTACGAACGGTCAGACAGACAGCCATACACGAAGACAAAAATTTCCCCTCCTCCCGCTTCCACGAACCCAGAAATGAGAACCTCTGGGTGTCTGCCGGGGGTTGTGAGAAAATTTTGGCGCGCCCAGCCAAGCCGCGCACATTTCCCTCCAATTTTTTGCCGTCTCGCCCGGGACAAAAACGCACTTTTCACCCGGTGGCGTCGCTTGCTTTTTTGTCTGCACCCGCCCTGAGGGGCGGGGGATGGTCAAGCTTTTTCGAGGGGCAGGTCATCTCTGACTACTCTTTCTATTTTTTTTTTGAAAAACATTGTGCTTGGGGTTGCAGACGAGGTCGTCTGCAGTCGTCTCCGGCTCAGAACTTCCGCTTACTGCCTTTGATTCGTCTAAAAAATTTTCTTGAAAAATTGTCGCTTGATGGAAGGCCGGGAATTCTAATTCCCTTTAATTTTTGCTAAAAAATATTTTGGTAAAATCTGTCCGATCCGACGGATTTCAAAGGCTCTTAGTTTCCGGAAAACACTAATAAACGTATAGAACAAGAAATTTCTAGAATTATTTTTTCAAAAGTTTTAGCATGAAAGTGTTTTTGCGACCGATAAATCCATATGTAAAAGAAGAGGAACATATGCGTTAAAATTCCTAAGGTTTTCTGCTAGCATAAGGGTGTTTATACTGGACTTTTGTGTGTTTCTTTGTTGTAAGAGTGTGTGGTTTCGTTGGGTTGAAGGAACAATCATTTTTCATTAAGAAGGGAGT